TAGGACTTTATATGGCCAGTATTTTTGGATTCTTAATATGAGATGGATGACCATATACAATCTTTTGACCATGGCACATACTACGAAGGCTCATGATGATTCTTAGCACCCCCCAAAGGTCAACACTGTGCCACCGTGCACTTCTAGAAGTGATATCATAGGACGCATCTAATTGATACATCTCATGCATTGTTCAAGTGCTGGTGACAGGTTGTCATATTTACGTTGGCATTAATTATGAGGTTCGTGGTAAAGGGTAGAAACTGAATCCTCTAAACTCTAGGCTGTATGGGTGCGGGGTGGTGTGGGCCCACAATGGCTTCATATTTAAACAGAGCAACATTTGTCGCCCCGTGGGTCGTCGGGCCTTAGGACCCTGATGCCCTTGCAATTCAACCTATGGGAGGTGCAGCACGGGAAAAGAATTTGCAAATCCACCAGGGGTATTGTCGGTCAGTCTTGCAAATAGATTTTTCAGAATTCAAAGCGCACCGGACCAGATAAAACTTACTGCCTTACTCATACTTCAGTTGATTTGCGCTGGTTTCAGGTAATTTTAGACCTAGAAATGGAGAAATCAAGAATACAATAGAATGCAAGATAGACTCAGATAGGCCTTGTGTAACTATCATGTCGTGTCCCACAGTTCCACCATTTCCTCTGTGGGGCCGCCTTGGCGAGGAGAAGCGCATCTTCTCCCCCAACCGATCGCAGGGAGACCATGACTCCAACGATGTTTGGGTATTTCAAAAGGGCCTATGAAGTACGAGTTAGCAAACATTTTTTAAATCTTTGTTTAAGGTTCCATGTTTTCCCCGATCTGTTTTTCTATATTGGTATTTCATAGTATTTCACTTGCATAAAGATTAGCCGGGGGGGCCATAGATGTTCCCGACCACTTCATTTCTACAAAAATTATATAGATCTGATCAAACAGTGTGTTTTTCTCTTACCCTCCGGTAAACTAACATAGCCATGGAAAATCACAATGTTAAATGGGTAAATCCACTATAAATGACCATGTTCAATAGCTATGTTAGTTTACCAGAGGGTATCTCATTCCCCACCTGCCAGGTGAGGGTTGTTAGATTTTATCTAAGTTGCCTGGTCCTCCTCCTCCTGCCTCCTCCTCCTCCTCTCCTCCTCCTCTCGTTGTCCTGCTCCTCTCGTTGTCCTCCTCCTCTCGTTGTCCTCCTGGTCCTCCTGCTCAACTGCGACTCGCGATCCACAGTGTTCGCTGCCGGACCTCAACCACGACCATCCACATATGGTGTTCCCTGCCGGACCTCAACCACGACCATCCACGCCCAGTGTTCCCTGCCGGACCTCAACCACGACCATCCACGCCCAGTGTTCCCTGCCGGACCTCAACCGCGAGTATCCCCGCCCAGTGTTCCCTGCCGGACCTCAACCACGACCATCCACGCCCAGTGTTCCCTGCCGGACCTCAACCGCGAGTATCCACGCCAAAAGATATGCCACATAGAGTGCCAGAAGATATGCCAGATAGAATGTTAGAAGATATGCCAGATAGAATGCCAGAAGGTATGCCAGATAGAATGCCAGATAGAATGTCAGCTAGAATGCCAGAAGATATGCCAGATAAAGTGCCAGAATGTTTGCCAGATAGAATGCCAGCAGATTTGCCAGATAATATGCCAGAAGATATGCTAGATAGAATGCCAGATGGAATGCCAGAAGATTTGCCAGATAATATGCCAGAAGATATGCCAGATAGAATGCCAGATGGAATGCCAGAAGATATGCCAGAACATATGCCAGAAGATATGCCAGAAGATATGCCAGAACATCTGCCAGAAGATATGCCAGAACATCTGCCAGAAGATATGCCAGAACATCTGCCAGAAGATATGCCAGGTAGAATGCCAGAAGATATGCCAGATAGAATGCCAGATCGAATGCCAGAAAATATGTCAGATAGAATGCCAGAAGATTTGCCAGTAACAACATGTATAAATGTCATGGTGGGGATCACACGAAGTAAAGTATTTTTTTTTTCAAATGTTTTTGTTCAGCCTCCTTTTAGTTCCATTTTGAGCTGGGCGACTGCGCTGACTGCGCCCAGGTGGCCCACGCGGCCGAAGAATCCCAAGGTCGCGGCTGCGCCGCAGTTCTACGACCAGCAACGGGAGGCGAGGTCTCGAGGTCAAAATCTCCCAATGGGAACCAGGGTTTTGTTGGATATTTGGGATGGATTTTTGCACGGCTATGTTAGTTTTTTATTACCCTCTGGTTATTTAACATAGCCATGGGAAAATGGCCCATTTATAGATGGTTTACCTAGTTTACCTATTTTCAATATTACCCTCTGGTTATTTATTTAACATAGCCGTGCTTGAAATCACCATGCTATTAATTAGGTAAACATAGGTAAACCATCTATTTCGATTGGGGCCATTTTCCCATGGCGATGTTAAATAACCAGAGGGTAATAAAAAAACAAACATAAACTGAAGATTTACATCCGAGGCTTGGGGGATGTACATGGGCCCAGGACATCATCATCAGCTTAAACTTAAACAATTGGTTCCAAATCAATAGAAATGAAATGAAAAGAGTAGATGAGTCGGTAGATCATGTTGGCTGTGCATCAAAACATATGGATAGTGCATGACACATTTTTGGGTTTATCTGGAAGCCATTTTTGATACCAATATTTTCTACCAGTGTTGACTCCCCTTGGTCATGTCAGGCTCCAGGTTGCCTCAACCTGGTTTTGTTTCATGTACTTGATACACTCTATGGTGCAACTTTTTTTGACCCCTGTCTCTTTCAACGAGGGGTCCCAACAATCGACCCCATTTGTTTTCTTTTCATAGGGAAGCCTTGCAAGTGCGGAATAATTCCACCCTTAAACAATCCTTTGAGTATCCTTGTGAGTAGGTAAATTATAGGGGTTACATCCCATTAAATGGTGCTTATCACTTATCACCTAAATTATACCAACTCATAACCCCAAGTGCACCTTCAAGGCCCAAAAATGGCATTGGATTTAGCACCCCCCCCCTGTTGATACAGGGCTTGCCATTCTGGAAAGCGGTGACTTGGAAACACCAGGGCCAGTCGGGCACCCAGTGAAACAAACGAACAACAAACGATGGAACCCATCAAACCAGGATGTGAACATAAGCAGGCCAGAGGCATATTCTCTACATATATATGTATATATATATATAATAAATATTTTTTTTTTGCATAAATGTCATGGTGTATATTTGTATATGCATACGCATGTAACATGTATGATCTATACACGTGTGGACACCGATGTGTATACACAGATTTAATGTGTACTGTATACATGTATAGATGTGTGTATGTGCAGATAGTGTTGCAACATCATCATAAAATCCTGAAGCTGTTTTGAATTCAGCCGCATGCACTCCATGGCACTGAGGATTTTCAGTGACCCGCCCCCGTTCAAGAAGCGACCCCGCCACTCAGCACGCGAGTTGTTTCCATTTGTGAGGTCATGGTAGGTCCCTCTAGGTAAATTATAGTTCCCGTGACCTTAAAACCCTGGAATCATGGGAATTGGATCCGAGGAATCACCACCCATAAAGCCTGAAATATCAGGCTGGTGAAAAATGATGTTTTTACCATTTTTTACCCAGATCAGTGTAGGTTGATATTTTTGTTGGGTGGTGGAATATTCGAAGAATCACTATCCAAAATATCCACAAATGATGTTCCAAAAGGACACATGTGGAAAACCATTGAAAACCGCATGATTAAACCTCTACCATTTTGGGATGATTTATACAACCCATGAAAATGGTGATGACTTGGGGATGGTTTATGACATTGGGTTTACCACATGACTTTAATATGGGATTGAGACCACCAACCACACCCCAACCTCCCAATTTGGTGGCTGATTCGCTCGCAGTATTTTTCTGGATCGTTTTGGCAGGCATACCTCACATTCCATGATGTTATTTTCTTTTAAGCCCAAATGGATTGAACATTTATGCGGCCGATGATTGAATTTCCAGTGTTTTGCCACATCAATTCATGATCCCGATGATCAGCCATTGATGTGGCAATGATTAGTGATTATTGATGTGGCAATGATTATTGATTATTTATTGTTGATTATTGATTATTTATGATTATTTATGATTATTGATTATTGATTATGATTAAATTTCCACTGTTGATTATTCACATGATGGCCATTGCCATATATTGCCATATATTGCCATGCCACCAGCTGGCTGGTCAATCCCATGACTTTCCCGCGAAACTTGCCATGAGGCTCTGCTGCACAGCGGCGCGCCGCTGGGCTTTGTTTGAGATGCCACCGAAATCCATGGGTTGATCATCAGTTTCCCATGACCTGGTTGGTGGTGACTGGAACCATGGAATTTTGACTGACTTTCCATATGTTGGGAATGGAATAATGACCCCAACTGATAAACTCCATCATTTTTCAGAGGGGTAGGTATACCACCAAGCAGATTACCTGTGGGTATGGCTGACATTGACGCAGGCGGGCAAGCATATTGGGAGATGTTGAGGGATGAACATCCATTTGGCCAATAAAAACCAGCTATTTGGGGTACCAGGGCATGGGTTCTGACCCACACCCATGTTAGATAATTATGCAACATGTTCATGTGTCATGATTAGTTCGAGGGTGACACTAGCGCTACTAACTTCCTTGGGGGATCAAGAAATCATGTTGCGGGCTATTGTCTCATATTGTCTCCATTTCCTTGTTGAATTCGCATGTTTGATGCTAAGACCACCATTTCTATGCACTTCTGGTGGTTATATAATAGATATATATTTATTTATTTATTTATAAATATATAATTATATTTGTAATGTATATACCCTATGCGGTAATAACGTGGAAAATCCCAAGCTTTGGTGGGACAATACGGGAGTCATCGGTCAAAATGGCGGTCAAAATGACGGTAATGTAGTATTTGGCTCAAGACACACCACAGTTGTTGGACTTTCTCTTTCGTAAGATGACGACACAAGAGACCCGAAACACCTTGAAATTCACGCAGATGTGCAAATACTGGCATTCCAAGCGTTGCCACATGGGCAACGAGTGCAATTTCGCACACTCGAGCGAAGAGCTGAGATCGGCGCCACCTTTGCTTAAGACCAAACTGTGCTTTCAGTTTCATGGATGATATGGATGTGTATATGATATTAGATGGGTTGAGGTGTTGGATTCCGTGGTTTTCCCTGACATCTAGCTGTTGTCTGTGAAAGATGTTAAAGAGCCATCCAAATGGGAGGTTGGATCTATGTTTGGGTGATGTTGATATTTGACCGTTGCCATGGGGATTGTTTTTTCCTGAGCTAGACTCGAGGTTTCAGTGTCATTCATTAGCAGTTCTCCCAAAGTCTCCCCTGCGCATAGCCCATGTTCTTTAATGGTCTACTGACAAAAACCCTCCCAACTAACACCTCTAATCATCCCCTCTCAGAGGAATGTAGTCTTCCAACCGCAAGCCTCTATTTATCTCTATTTTGTTGGCAGTGTCTATGTTAATCTGTGGTATGGTATCATCCATTGTGCACCCTTCACCAATCGCTCCCCAGGTTCACTTCCAGGGGTCAGTGCCTGAAGGGTGCAGCATGCAACTTCGCCCACGGAAAGGAAGAGCTTCAGTCAATGCCAGTTGAAGCAAGAACTCCGGTGGGGCGACGCAAGGCTTGGAAGGCTGGCATGGAAGCTGCTATGAAGATCAAGGTGCAGCTGGGACAGGTGAGACAGGTGAGACAGGTGAGACAGGTGGGAGGATGGGTAGTGCTATGGAAATCCATGGGGTTCTCCAGAAATTTGATCTACGAACGGTGGATTTTCCACATCTATCTTGGTTTACTGGACGGTAGTTTGTCTCGGGAGGCATGTCGAATGACATATTCAATATTATTCAGATACTGTAGATCGGCCCATGTTAAATTTTAGATGAACTATATAAATCTATATAAGAGGATCTTTAAGCAAGAGAAACATGAATTAGCTTGGAATTATCTGAAGCAGTGCAGGTTTTTCAGCATCAAAAAGCCCCTCAAAAATCGCTGAGTCGCTGCTCCCCCCAGGTGCAAAGTCCAAGTGATGCCATCTCCCAGATGCAGTTGCTTCAGATGAAGATGAACCAGCTGGAGTCCTTGAGCATGCGTTCCTTAGATTTTTGCTGAGTCGGTGTGAAAAATGTTCCTCTTTTTTCCAAAAATTGGTGTGAATGAATCCACCAGCAATTATTCGGAATTGACATGAAGTGACTGGATAACGGTTTTGGTGATATGTGATGTTTTTTTTGGGTGGGGCCCATCGCAAGCAAAATCTCAGACTTGGCAGTCCTACATCCCCCTCCTGGTTTGGAGGTCCCGCCCATGGCTAGATCCGTGGATGGGTGTACGGTGTCCGCGGATGGCGATGTCAGGAGTGTGGCATCGTCATTTTCCAGCAGTTTCCCTGTAGATGAGCCAGGAAGCGAAGGGGTCAGCCCACTTTCCCAGAGAAGTTATGTATTTTGGCTTTAATTTGATCATTGAATCACTGCTCATTGCTAATCTGCTTGGTGGTTTCAAAGTGTTTGTTTTGTTTAATTGACGATGTTCAAAGTGTTTTTAATGGAATGATGATGAATGATGACTGCCGCATGTTAACAGGACAGGTTGAAGCCACCAACCAGTATAGTCAATAATATCTGGGTTTGTTTGAAAAAGGGGTCCCCATTTAGCCACTGTGAAATCATCATGTTCCCATATATTTTCCCTGTGAAAATTGATTAAAAAAGGTGCATCCTTATTTTCAAACAAACCCATCTCGTTGATCATTGCAGATCAATATCGATCTATGCATACCGAAGGATGTTGAAGGACATCCCCTCTGCGTTTTCATGCAGAAGTCTCTTCGAATTTTTGCTCTGCCACAGGTGCTATTGGGTAGTTGTGGCGCAGGATTTTCCCTCAGACCATGTACAGTACTTATAGATACCTATAGGATGGTTCGAGTCCTGTCCAATTCAGACGTTCCAGGGAAGGCCGGGAACACACCACCGGTGACCCAGGCTTTTTCTTCCCTTAGCTGCAAGTGGATGACCCTCGTTTGCTAACAATGGAGCTTGGAGAAGCCTTTGCTCTCCATCGCACAAAATTTGTTGTTATCTGTCGTGTCCTTGAAGTTTCACGCGGTTCAAGGGGCTAATATGAGAATAATCGATATTATGTGTATTTTACATAAATACTTGACATTTGCTCCAATTTGCATACAATATGCCCATGTCTAAATTGGCCTGCTCTTGAACAAAGCCAGATTTGAAACCTTTAGTGCTTGTTAGTAAGAAAATCTACAACAGGGGTTCCCACATGAATCAGAAGCACAAAGGAGCATTTGGGAGCGCCCGACGTCAGATTTTCAAATTTGGACCTGCAACAGTTGCAACCCCACGTTCACAAACCATCTATATATATATATATTATATATATATATGTAAATATGAATGAATATGCTATATATATATATGAACATATATATATATAATTTTTGGGCTATACCATGGTATGTCCCAAAGTAGAGATGGTTTATGATCTCCCTCCCATGGCGTCTACTTGGAGATGGTGGCAGGATCCCACGAATGAAACCCACTGTAGGCGGGTCACCGGGACGGGTCAAAGGTCGCCGCATTGGAAGAGGAGCGGCCGAGCTCTGTGCGAAGCTGAGGGTGGGGAGAAATTCATTGGAAGGACAAAATTCTGTGGATTTCATAGGATTTAACTAACAAAACTAATGGTTAAATGGGATAATATATACATATCATAATATGGAAATTAACTAACAACAATGGTGATTAAATGGAACATTCTAGAACATCATGGGGGTTTTACCTTTGTGCACTTTGGTTATTCTTTGCAGTTTGCTATGCAAGCCATGGCCCATAGAAATAGATGATAAACATGATGATTTACCGAACTTAACAAATGGTTATGCTCCATAGCTATGTTAAATAACCAGAGGGTATTATAAGGGGGAAAAAAAAACATTCAGGAAATCATATGTCCTCTTCGTCAAATTGGGGTTGGGGGTTGACCTCTAATTTTTTTCTAGTGAAGCAGCTAGGATGACATCACTCAAACCTGGCCTTTGGAACTGCATGGAGCTGTTGGGGAGCTGTTAGGAGCTATGGTTGTATCCGCATTTCTCTATTTCAGGGGCTGAGGAGCTACAGAGTTTCCCCACATGTCATAGTTCATCATAGTTTTGCTTTGGACTTAAGTAATACGCGCAATACCAAGCAAATGTTCATCCAGGCACCACCAAAACTAGTCACAGATGAGCAGGGAATGACAGGAATCACTAGGTCGGTCAAGAGATGTAAGAGTTCAGCAGAGTCCGAGTCGCCATTGGGGATTTTCATCACTCCAAAAGGGGGGATCAGCAGAAGTTTCCCCATTAAAACAACCATCCGTGGGGGCGAATCCACCATGAACTCAGACACACCCGAATATGCCATGTTTATCATGATCTGATTATCAGCGGATTTAATAATTTATGAACTATGGTTAACTCCTATAGTTTCTTCCCGGTTAGATCATCATTTTTAATGAAATCACGATGTTTGCTGGTTAAAAACCCCCAAACATCACCATATTTTCAGTCAATTTTTCGGTAATATTTCCATCATTTGCTGGTGAACTCTCATGAAATGCCTATAGGTTTCACCGTTTCACCATTGCTTTCACCAGCTGAAAAATCTTCCCATGGCGCTGACGGAGCTCACCTCCAGCCACTTCCGCGGCTTCCTGCGGAGGGACGAGGAATGGCCTGAAGACTCAGAGCCTTGGACGCCTTGGACGCCAGGTGCCGCAGTGGGGGGGTTGGAACGTCCATGGACCTTTGAAAAAGCGCGCTAATACATGGTTTTAGTCATGAAACATGATGAAACATGCATGGTTTAATAGTTTAAGTGCGTGAAAATGGTGATGAAAGGTGATGATTCAATGCATCCATACGTGAGACAATTTAAGGCAAACAAAAAAAAACACGGTGAGTTTAAACTTGATTTAATCCACCCTCAAAACTCGAATTTTGAATGGTTGAACCCTACATGCAGAAGTTTAAGAAATCTTGGGGGTGTACAGCATCACCAGCTTCAGGGGAGCAGTTGCATGCTGGCTGCCTTGTCGTGGGGTTAGAAGCCTTAAGTTCGGTTTAAGGTTGTGGGTTTCAGAGGGTTTCAAATCATGCAGGTTGTACTACCTCCCCTAAACTAACATTTCGCAGCCATCATATCAGCTTAGGCTTAAATGGCCTGTGGTACCCAATAGCTGGGTCAACGCTCCCGAAGAAGTTGTTGCAGATCAACTACCCTTTGGCTTTTTTAATATAGCTACGGAAGCCATGGCCCATCGAAATCGAAGATAAAAGCGTTGAGTTGCCTGTTAAAAATTGTGTTTTTCCATAACATCCTATATTACATCCCTTTTCACCACCATTAAACCACCATTCGATCACGATTAAATCATTAAAAAACTATATCGCTGGAGGGCGTGGCTAATTATGGATGGGGCTCGAATATATTTCACTTCATACCCATGACCTGGCGCCGCACCAAGGAGGAGTTGCTCGATCGCGATGCGGACCAGGAAGCGATTAATAAGAGATCACCCAACAGAGAAAGGATATTGTTGTTTGACCTAAAGGGCGCAAAAGGGTTCTAATTTCATCTATATAATATTATTCAAAAAAGATGTTTTTCAGATATCCCGGATATGCGCATGTGCAATCCAAACAATCGTCGTTATTTTGTTGTGCTCCAAAACTCATTGAATCATGGTCCGATGGTGCTAGCAAGATCACCCCAAACAGTTTTCAACACATCCGAAGACATAATTGATAGCCTACACGGTTGTCCCGTTCAAGTGTGACTTTCAAGTGACCTTCAAGTGTTGGAACAAACTGAGAAAGGTCACTTAGAGCGTTTGTGATGACAAACTTTCAATTGAATAATTGGAGTTTGTGATGTTTGTGATTCCGCATGAAAGAAGTGCCAGCTCAAGCATAGTCAGCTCAGTCGGGTTAGGGACCACTTTCAAATCAGAACAGTGTTGTCGGGGAAGATGTGGGAAGATGTAATATATGCTAATATGTGGAGGTTTTGTAAAATAGGGGTATCCCAAATTCACCCAAAATTAGACAATTGTAACTATTTAAACCAATGGTTTCGGAGATCCCCCATTCTAAGAAAGCCAAATTTTATGAAGACGGTCTGGGATTACCAATGCCAAGCAACTATACCTTCCTTGATTTTCCCAACCCATAAAATGGAGCAGAGCTGCTTGGTCCAAGGTACAAAGCAGGCTGTGACATTGAGTGTCTTGGTGATCCCGTGGGCCCGAGTCCCATCCTCCTCTGGTGGTGTGGAACATGGCTGGATTATGGCTTTCCATTAATTTTGGGTATGTCGTAACCCCAAGTGACTACTGTAGTATTTTTCAGAGGGGTAGGTATACCACCAACCAGTTGGTTTTCGTGAAAGCAAACGTTTTAGAAACCCCGCATTGAGGTTCGATATCCACTGTGTATGGTACTTTGACCGTCATCATGTTGCTCCAAATCAACAATATGCAAAGCGAACATGACAAAAGCACATGTGCAAGCACAGAAGGCAGTGAATATGATTCATGTGTGCATGTGGCAATTCAGCGGCCCGAAGAACGAACCACACTTTTTTCTCCACAAGGTTCAAGTCTCGTATCTATTGGATGATTGGAGGAAAACCTTCAGGCAACCATGTCCAACGTGTCCCGTTCAATCTGAAGATTTCCCGTGAACTCAACGTTCAAACCAAAACCCCTGTGGACTATGATAGTCCCAATATATGTTGTAGTAAGGGTAGTGTAAGATAGTATGACCCCATACGATCATCAATTTTGATAAATTGTAACGACCTCATTGCGACCTACTGTAACTGAAATGATGTAATTGTATAGTAACTATCCCAAATGCCAAACTTTTCAGATCAGTGACATAGTATTGCAATTTGATTATCCAGAATCCAGATCAATACAGGTTCTGGTCACTGCTCAATTCACCTGTTTGTGTCTTTGACGCATGGCCAAGGAACCGAAAGCGACCGCCACCCGAAGAGATTCCGGGTGACGTCTTTGATCGACAGCGGGTGCCCGGCAGTTGGATGGTTCACTGTTTCGGAGCCACAAATGATGGTTAATGCAGGAAGAGGCCCCAGGGCTACGGCTACGTTGACTTATAACTCTGTCAACTAGGGTTTATAGAGGATATAACTATAGTAGTTAGATGGGGTTAGAAACCAACTTACAACTAGGGGGCCCCTTCCTGTGGTGGTATCGATCATTCATGACCAACAGAAGATGTGGGATTTTTCGAGCGTTTGAGAGTAAGAACTTCAGGGAATCAGAGTTGAAAGCTCCCCTAAGCTCCCTTGGCCACCCGCCCCCTCCGACCTTCCCCCTTAAGAACCCTACAATATGTGTATCTATCACACGCACATAATGTAATGTAATGTTTTCAATCTGCGACTTGTAGGTTGTCGGTTTCAGCTTATTGAAGCATTTCAGCTGCTAATTCGTTCAGTTGCTCCATGGATCTAACATGGATCTAACATGATCATGTTTGATCCCGGAACCACCTTGTTACTAAGGGGACACCAATTTGAATTTCCGTTTGTTTTTTACCAATCAACTTTAAGTTTTTTTTTTAATATAAAAAATAAAAGTCGCTGACAGAATAATTTTCAATGACCGCATTCTGACCAGCTGTGCTATTTCCCATGGCACTGGCGCCAGGTGATTCCGGACTTTGACCAGGGCTTGATTGAACGATGCTCGTTTCGCAAGTTACCGGTAATGGGAAGCTGAGGGACTGAGGCAATATAATTATAATATACATAATTATATATAATATATGGGTTTTAAACATATGGATGTGTCTGAAAATGGGGTATACCTCAAAACAGCTCTTTTTTTAGTGGGAACATGATAAGAATCCAGTGGATTTTGAGGGGCCTTATTGTCAGACCAAGCCATATTCCCAACAGCGGAGCCCTGGCGCGCTGGTACCCTGGAACCTGCTTTCGAATCTACGATGGCAATGGAGAATCGCTCATTACTAGACGATTTGCCCATTAAATACAGAGATGTTCCGGAAATCATGTATATGATCATGTGAAATAGTGCCACTATAGGGGTTGTCTTGAAGCCGGTGCACCACGAAGAGTTCCAATGCGCTTCTATTCTGCACAAACATGTCAGTTTGCATTTGCAGCTTTACCTTTTGAAAGACTGGTGTCAGGAAAAGGGATGAATCGTAGCTGGTTGGTGAAGTCAAGTAGTTTTCATTGTTCAGCATGTTGCATCAGACATTACTCCGCCCACGTTTGCAAGTTACATGCAATTCAGTTTTGATTGGAAGGTTTGAAACTGACGCAGCGGGGTTGAATTTGAGTTCGCCAATGGACTTGATTCAGCTGTAGTCGGCCCACGAAGACCCCACATAACATTTGTTTTTTCTTTGCTGGCGGTTTCAAATACATATATAATATATGTGTTTAGTGTTTGTTTGTATTCGTTTGCGGGGTGATGACTCCCGCTTGACAAGCATATTTTCGACAGATGCGTTGCAACTCCCAATCTGTGTATGTGGGGTGTTCTATATGTACCAATTGTATCCAGCTGCCAGTGGGCCTTATCAGCCCTGAATATCAGCATATAGAAGAGTATACAATATAGTGTGATATATATTCCGCGATTGTATGGAATATGTTTTTCCTATATAGACGATACAATATACATTATATTATATATAATGTAATTTAATGCTATTTTATGTTATGTATGCGTCTACACATATATGTATACATACATACGGATATATATATATATATATGTATATACATATATGTGTGTGTGCGTGGCCATACTGGATAACATAGTATAATATATATGTATATGTATTTATATGTTATTATGTGTGTGTGTGTGTTTGTTGATTTATGTACATCTATGCAGCACCAGTTACATTCGTTGTATATCAGAAGGTTTTTGAAATGCCGCCAGAGCACATTCCCAGGACAAGTGTGTCTTGTCTTGGGTGCTGGTGGAATCGGACAGAACGTGGCCCTGACTTTGGCCCGTTTGGGCGTGGCCTGGTGGCAGCGTTGGTACATATTTTGATGTTTGGCACCCTCCAAAAGATGCAGAGGGGGTGGGAGGGTGTTGCTTTTCTATCTTTTTGGGGGTTGTTATGCCTTGAGAAGGATTATATATATATATATATAACATATTATATATATATATATGGCATAGATGCGTCTGGATTGCAGGGTATGTGTGTTTTCTTTTCATTTGCACAGGTATACATATCACGCATATGATGTATGATCGGCGGATCATGTTGCCCATCCTGCCTCATCTCGATGTAAAAATTGCGTGCTTCGCTGGCTGTGATGAATTTTTACACGTGACAACCCTGAAGAATCCCAAAACCATTTGGAGGGATGGTTTGTTTCGTGAGACACCACTCTCAAAGAATTTCAGCGGACATCATGTAGACATCATGTAGACATCATTTAGACATCATGTAGACATCATTTAGACATCTTAATTCGACATCTAATTCACTGCGCCCAATTTCTGAGGTTCAAAAGATCATCCTGGTGGACAACGACATCTATGTGGCCAGCAATTTGACCCGACAATGCTTGGGCAACAAAGGAGATGTGGGCCGCCTGGCAGCCGGGGTGCCCGCTGTCGGCGATGTGTGTCCTGTAACCGTAGCCTTCATGGAAAGCCATTTCGAAATTTGGAAAATCATCGAACTAAATTGGCCATGTTCCATTCCATAGCTATGTTGAGTTGCCAGGGGATCCAGAGGGCATATGAATGATTATGAATATATATATATGTATATATGATTGTATAGGGGTTTCTGAAGCCATTGGGGGATTCCAAGTTATCAGCTTCAAACCATTGGTCATTAGTGGGAAACCAATGGTGGAGCAACCTCACAACGGCTTGTTCCCAAGGCAAGCGAAAGGTGGACGTGGCTAAGGCTGGGCTGGAAGCCTCGCATAACCTCCGTTCAGCGCCTTGGCTTTTTTGATACCCGGGCCTTGTGGTCAACTGATGGTCAACTGATCGACCAAGAGGAAGGGGGAACTCCTGCGCCGATGCCAGGGGTTTAAGATCATTTTGGTGGGAGGCATTGCATTTTTTAACATACAGATTCTTGTACATTTGGATGTACACCAGCCCGTGCTCATTTGACCATCACTGTTTGCGTTTGAATTGTGGATTGAAAGATCAAACATCATCAGGGGAAGATTGCAGGTTTTTATGCCTCCAACATGTTTGCCAGTCAAGGAACCATTACTGTAATCAACGATTTTAAGGTGGTTTCAAATTTGGACTAATAAACAGCCATATGTGCCGTGGTCAAGTCATGGTTATTTTCCTCCGTTCACTATAAAGATTATAAAGATTCCTTAAAGATGGTGTCGCTGGATTAGTTGAAGGATTTTGAAGGGAAAATCTACGGGAAACAAAGTGTTTTTTTCATGAAACCCAGGGGTTTCCTGTAGGTCCCTTGGCCAATTCCATTGACGGTGCGATGACACCCGGTCTCCCAAGGCTGTCGTTGCCGTGCACTGCGATGCAGTGCTGGAATGGGATCGAGTGGCAGCGTTGCCGAGTTCAGGGGGAGGGCTGTGAACCTAGCAGGTTGGGTTTAGGGCAAACCCTCCGAGATGACCCGCTAACACGGAGGCAGGTTGAAAATGATTGAAGCATCAGTGGATTGGTTTAAGGGAACATATATGGGAAAAACCTGGTTTTCCCTTGAATTTAGGGGTTTCCGAGTTTCCTGTAAAGTTTCCTTTAAACCAAGCCATGGAATCATGAAACACCTCATGTTTTTCTGGTTGTGGAATGGTGGCCAATCCCCTGCACATGGTTGGGATTCTATGGAGAATGGAACAAAGTTGAGGTGAACCCTGGGGGAAAAAAGGGCAAATTAGGATGACTCCCTGCAAAAGTTGTACCAGATTGTACCATGGAAAAAAATGATGCAATGTAACTTTGATGTAACTTTGGAGCTGTAGAACACGGACCTTTTCACAGCTTAAGTCACCCAGGTAGACCTCGCACGGCAAAGTACCGTGGTCTTCAATGCCATCGATGTGGGCGTCATGTGGCGCGGTGGCATCCGCTGCTGCAATCCCCGACGTCTTCGGTCAAAATAGCTGGCTGTTAATGTATGAAAATCCCTGAGCAAAGTGGTTTGTTCTGTTATATAGATGGGCCATGATGGGCCAATGAGGGATTTTCCAGCTAATCATAATTGATTGCCGGAGTGTAGAAAGGTGATAATTTTGTGGCAGACTCATGCAGATTCCGGTGTTTTAATCACCCTGGAATATGATTTGTCACAATGGATATCATCCAGGATTGTCCCAACATGTTCCAAGTTCCGCAGCATTGTTGCAATGGTCAGCGCGCCCACCGGTCGTGGCCGTAAGGTGGGACTTCTGTGTGAATTCCCTGTGCAAGGTGCCAATTCTGGTCATGGCTTAGCTGGCTACCTGGTTGAATGCACTTGATTCTTGTAGGGGTTGCATCAACTTGAAACCACCACACCACCGGCCATCAGGTTGAGATGTTCAACTGTAACAAAGTCCTAGGACAGACATGTGAGTCCTGTCACAGCTGGCTTCCCATGTGACAACCCAGATGGTGGCAGATCTAACCATCTAAAGCCAGAATTTGATAGGTAAAAGATTGAAATGTCATGAAACGCCCATGACATCGGAGGATATCAAACAAGCAAAATGACTGGATTTATGGCAGATTATCGTGGCAGGAACTGGAGATTCCTCTTTGCGCTGGTCAATCTTTTGGATGGAAGTTTATGACCGAGCCTTGCTGACCATTGGTGATGTGAATGAGATTGAAGGGATAGTGCCTGTGATGCAGGAGAAATGTCCAGGAGCATTTCTGTGACATTTCTGTGTGCATTGTGATTTTGTGCGTATTATATCAAGTTATCAAAAAATATCTATATACGTGTAGAAATACACACAAAAAAAAAACCATATAACAGAGAGAGAGAGAGTATAAATTATAATCCATTTGATTATATTTGATTCATATATGGATTGTGTCTATCCATATAGTGCACACAAGGCGCAACTCCAAGACTCCATGGTCCAAGAACACCCCTGAAATCCCACTTTAAAAACATCACTATGACGAGATAAAAGTGGCCTTTTCACTGGGGCTAAATCCTTCATTTTTAGACAAAGCTCCACCTTTGAGGAGCTTTACACCGGGAAAGTCGATGAAGTTTGCGCATTCTGCGGCTCGGCGATGTACAGACTGGCCATGGATGACCTTTTTAGGGTACCATGCTGCTTCAAGTGCTTGGTTTATGGGACTAGCAGATTATTTCTGCCTATGAAATTAGCATGATGAAATATGCCACATCTTCAGTCTCATAGGGAAATACTCTTTCGTCAGATGCCTCTCAGATCCTTTCATCGCAGCATTTTCACATATTTCCACGGGTCCGGCCCCGTTGCAGATCACAGGCTACGACTCGGTCTCCTCCACCTTCGGGACCAATGAGAAGGCCGAAATCAGCGCAAACGGAGTATGGTCATTATAACAGTCATATTATATTAGTCTCTGATAATTTAAGATAGGTATTCAGAATGTGGCCCGTTTATGCTCATTTATTAACAGTATAAATATATATATTATATAGTTTATGTTGTAATGATTTATAATGTCTATACGTTAATTTCTATTGAAATTGTGATTGTCCATTGTAATGTTTGTTTTCCAGAGGGTAATCAACTGGTCAGCAGTGATGATCAGGATATCGTCAACTGTACAGCCTAATATAATGTAACATGTGCGTGTTCCTGTGCTTGGATTTGTCTTAAATTTAGATACTTGTCATATCTCATGGCAACCCAAAGGCAGGTTGATTTTTATATGTATATATATATATTATATTTATTTACTCGCGTTGCATTTTGTGAGCTAATCACTGACCAAATGTAATGAGCCAAGTTCGACAAAATGAACGTGCCAGGCACTTATGTTCATCGTTTTAGTGTCCCATTCCTGCTGCCGCCATGGATCCTAATCGGTTCAAACAGTTTGGTACTGCTTCAGGCTGCCTCACCAACAAACATAAGTTTGTGCTGCAATTTTTTACCGCGGTACACGGGCAAAAGCATTGTGCAAACATGTTCAGGCATGTGAAAAGTTCTGATCTGAGAGCAGCCCATGCTATGACGGAGAGCGGCACAATGAACATTCTGTACAGCTTGTTGGCGCGTACAGTGTATGATCTTCAAATATCTTTAATAGCAGAGAAGACCCAATGATAAATTTGATAACTCACATCCAATTTTACTGACTGAGTTGATTCTTAACGTCTTAACCTTGTACCATGTTGTTCTGAGTATTTGGCCAGCTCTGTTTGTTTCGCATCCAATCAGGCAATCACCCGGCAAGGCGGCATTTTGGTGCCTTGGCATCCCTGGCCTGGTCTTAGCGCAAATAGTACGTTGATGTTGGTTTTTATACATATATATATATACATATATATGTATATGAATTACAATATAAGTATGTATTATATATATATATGTGAATGTGTTTGCTTACATGTTTGTTTAAATTCGATATATACAGTTTTTAAATATATATATATGTGTGTATTTGTATATTTACGCACACACATATATATATATATACACGATACACGCATTAATATATATATATATATACACATATAGATGCATGCATGCATACATACATACATACATACGTACGTACATACATACATACATACATTCATACATACATTCATACATACATACATACATATATATATATATATACATACACACACATGTATATATTTACATATGCATATACATATATATATATATATATTATATTTAATGTATGATATACGTAGATGTGTGTGTGGGTGCACATCTATTTGAACAACGGCAACAAAATGGGTCAAGAATAAGTCTGTATGCCACTTTCTCTGGGAGTTCACCCAAGGCTTTTCTTTTCGGTCTCAGGAACGCCTGGGTCCGAGCTCCCTGAACAAGGAAGTGGTACGAGATTTCCTGAAGAATGACAGGTGTGGCTGGGCTGGGGTGTTGCACAAAGCCACGACATGCAATCGCCAGCAGGTCAGCTAAAATCATGGGGCCTAGGACCCTAGGATTAGAATCAAAACTGCTTCAAATCTTCGGGGCGCAAGGCAACTTATGCAGATGTGAATGGATTCTGCGCACGTTAAAAAACCTGATTTTTCATCAACAACTGGCTGAATTTTATAGATGGTGAGAGCTAGGGATTCCGTTCCTCCCCATCATGATACCGATCCATATCCATCCATATCCCATCATTCCCCATATGTTCACAGCATGGTTCATGCCTGACATTTTCGTTTCCTTTGCTTTTGGATTCTATGTTGTTGTCTTTTTCAAAGTCACGTGGAAAACATTGGAAGACCTTCTTTCTGTTTGTGAAAGTCAATGATCTTTGGGGCTAACCTCCAGTAAACATGTAAAGAAACACATACATAAATGAATAGATAAGCAAATCAATGCATACATATAAATTTAAATATACACATATAAATATAGATATAAATATAGAGAATAAATACATAAATATAACTATAATATTATATATATATGCGGAAAATCCACTCTTTGTATCTCATTTCATCTCATTTCCACGGGAAACCCATTGGATTTCCATAGCTCTGTTATCCTACCAGAGGGTAACCTCTCCGGTAGGCAGTTTCGATGCCACGATGGCCCGGTGCTCGCAGAGGTGGTCGACTTGGCGTTACAGAGCGTTGGAGGACGATGGGCGTTGCGACATAGTGGGCTGGTGCTCCAGTTGGTCAAAACCTATTAATGTAGGTCAAACAATAATAAACCACCCATTTGGGAATGGTTTATACCACCTATATACTAGTGGTGATTTGGTAGATGGTTTATTATTGTTTTACCCACATTCTTACATATCTAACAGTTGCCGGGAAGGCGTAGATTGTCTGACTCATTTGTTTGTCAGAGTTGACACGTTGAATGCTTTATTTCATGGAAAATCCAAAGGTACTCCAAACAATTATCCGACAAGATCTAACACGTTGACGTTTGGCACAAAGCATTGGTTTGTGGTGAATGGTTGGGTATCTTGAACTATTTTCAAGCAGTTTTTTGTTTTATTTTGTAGAGGGCCATGTTCGGGATGATTTTGGGGAAAACATGATTAAAGAGAGATGTTTTAGGAGGCCGATATAAATATATATATATACAACAGTTGAATACTGTTTATATATAATTATTTAATCAACTGAAGCTATTGAATCAACCAATTGTTAATATATCAACCACTATAGTTTATCTCATTAGTAGAACTGTTGAGTGAATAGTAGATATCGAACTCGTATAGTCAATATACATGTGTGTGTGTGTCTGATGTACATTTCTCTAGGGTTATACAATGGTAGGTGATTTCGTGGCAGGTGTTTTCGAAATGGATCAACACTTAATCAACAAACATAACTGGGCATTGTGTGTGTGTGACTTGGAACAACCTCACTGAGGCGTCACTGGAATGGTGGTTCAGACTGGGGGAATCATCTTGAAGAACGTCTTATTTCAGATTGGTGAATAAATGAAAATCAGCCAGACATATCCATCCGAAGACAGGGTTTACATGGGTTTACCATTGGATACCCTGATACACCCCGAAGTTTTGATCCTATATCAAGTAGGGTCCAGTAGGGTCCACAATAGTTTCACCCCGAATGACTTCCCAGAAATGGGTGGTCGAAACCATCCATTGCAGGTCTACCGTTCTTTTTGTTAACACACTTTTGCAGTGTATACCAATGGTTGGTTTTGTCCAATGTCATTGTGTTTTTTCAGTAACTTCCATAAAGATTGCCACAGCCGTGGCCATCTCAGATTTCCCAGGACAGCTGCGACCAGAAAGTGCCGAGGCGGGGCTCCGACATATACCTGGGTAGGGTAAATTAAAGATGAATATGGGGGTTACCTTAAATGGGTACCCCCCAAATCATCTAAATTAGACAATTTTATTGAAACCCATGTTTGTGTGGGTATTTCTCATTTTAGGAAACCTCGATATTTAGCATCTTCATATTTCGCTACTTTAGTGAGTTAAGTGGAAAGTCTCACAATTCGGTGACCAAGGGCCTCAGGGGTAACGGCTACCCTGGTAGCCACGATGATGATCTCCAATGACGCATTGAAAATATGGTACCCCCAATTTATGGCCATTGTGGAAATGAATCCCAGCAGTGATCTTCAGCAGCTCAGCCGGGGCCCAGGTGCTGAAGTTTCTACAAGCCTTGCAGCAGGAGCTTGCCATATGGGAGATCTTGGGAGAAGGGAAGAGAAAAGGAACTGTCTGACGTGAGTGTCAAATTCAATACCCATCCAAGATGATTTGTTGATTTTGTGGCACTGCCTACTGGGTTTTGATTTGAAAGTTTATTTTGGGTTGCCATGAAAACTAGCCATGTTTGTTAATCAGTTTTTTTTTGTCATATCATATGTCTCCACGTTTCTCTTGGTTCAGCTGTACGTCAACATTGTTCGAGCCCCGTGTTTTGGTTAAACTGGTTCCAGCCTCACGTGATGTTGGCTTACTAGATGGTTTGAAAATGTTCGAAACATTTTGAAACCCATCTGGGTTTGTCCGAAATAGGCTACCCTCAAAACAAAAGACATGGTTTATCATTATGTTCTCTGTTGTTCAATGACCATCCGGTGCGTATACCCCATTTTCAGACACTTTTTTTTGTGTTTGCCTCTTTGTTTGGTGCTTTGCACGACGACCACAGGAAACCGTGAAGAAGCTGTTGCCTGGCAAGGTGTCGACCATGAAGACAGTTGGGTTGCTTGACCAAGAATGGGTTGCGAGCGGGGTGACCCCTGTTGCTTGCTGGTTGCGAGCTATGCGGAACTCGTATGACCTGCTTTCATGGGTTGACCATAAGGTCTGGAACCTGCCACAAGATTCTACAAAAACAATCAAAGATATCATATATATATATATATATAATTATATATATATACATGTGTGTGCATGCATAATTATATTTAATTATACATATGTGCGTGTGTCAAATTATTCAGCTTCTTTAGACTCTAAGACAATCCCGCGGCCACTGCCGGTCTCAAAGCATCTTAAAGCATCAGAAGGCAAGGCGGCAGATGTGGGAACCAACCGACTGTCCAGGTTTATCCCGCAGCCAAAGCACGCAGAGACTCGCTTTGTGGGAAGCTGGGTGTGTCCTTGCCTCTCTTGCGCAGTGCCCTGCAGCGAAAACCTTGGAGCTTTCTGACTAGGGGGATGAACGGGTATTTTCCGGTGTATATATGTATTTATTTTATTATGGATTTTGTTAGATTTTGTTGGGCTATGTGAAAAGCAGGCTGTCAGGGCTTGATCTATATCCGAATGACTTCAGGAATTTGATCATTCCTTTGCAGCTAAGATGCAGTCAACTCACCCACCTTACTCCCGAGCAGAGCATCAAGTCGTATCAATATCCCAGCAGGGCAAATTCAAAGATTCAAAGGGAGTTCATGGCCCAGATCATCACATACTATACAGTACAAGTAAAATCATCCCGAACAAGGGTGTTGTACACCCATGTAAATTCAATGTCATGTTGTTGGTCCACCCTCACAATTACGGCCAGGTCACAATGGTTTCGCAATGGACCGGCCTACTAACCGCCCCCGCAGTCGAGGAAGGAGCTCCAGCAACTTGCCTTCGAATGGATTCTGATCATGGAAGCCCTGGAGTACCAACATGTATTCACATGACCTGCAAAAATGGGAACACATATAAACATCATATGATATGCGCATGTATATAAATACAAGGCGTTATTTCATGGAATAACGATACCATGTCGGTTTTCCATGGGCTTAGAAGTTCCAAGATGATTTTGGTAGTTTTTTTTGTGACCGTTTGGGCACCTTCTGCCCTGAGGAGGCTGTGATGCCCCAAAACATCACCTTCAATTTGGACACGGGGATGACTGGGGAAGAGCAGCTCAGCAACCTGGTTGTAGAGGACGGAGGTGAGCGGCTGAGTTGAAACCATGCCTGGGTAGCTTTCGCTATACCCGGGAGCCACGATCCGATGGGGATACCAGTCCACATCCAGAAGAAGTGGTATCTCAGTGGTATCTCCCATTCAACATGCCCCCAGTCAACCAAGTGGCAGCCCCTACCATATATGACGATGCTTAGCACAAAATATCAGATTTGTTATGTGTTTACCTAGATTATCCTAGATCCAGAAATCATATTGCAGCATAAGTTCTTTCAGGTCTATGCCTATGTATACATACATCTATGATAACCAACAATAGAATCATATGAACCATGATCAATCATAATGTAGAAATCCAGCTTCCCCATTCAGTTCCATGATCCATCTCTTTCGGGCCCCCCAGCTATAAGTTATCACTTGTGTTTAACCCCCAGTATCGATACCCATATGCCTACCATTCATATATATTCATATCCACAAGTCCATCGTTAGGTCGACCTACTCTTCAAACTTAGCGATTTCCGAACTGGCGCGCCGCATTGAATATATGCCCATGATTCCCCATTCTAGTCCATAGAATCATTACTATTTTTCTGGGAATTCCCATGAAACCTCCAACATAGTCAACATATAAATATCAAATATAATATTATATTACATGAAGTCGCTATACCCCAGAAGAATCTCATGAACTTTCGAGTAGTCAGGATATCTCACCTAAGTTAAGTACGATTACACCATATTTGTTATAATCATTGGCTAAGAGGGGATTAAATCCCAATCACAACCCCAATTGATCCAAAGGAATACCAATACTATATCAAAAAAATGCCATGAAACAATCCTAATCATTATATGACCTTCATTGGGTCCCATCACACACAATCTACAGTAAGTGGGGATGAAATCCCATTACTGCGAAATTGCCAATTACATCCTCATTAATTATATATAATATATTCCCATGAGATCACTATTATATCATCCCAGATCTATTGACCTTTGTGATCTTATAATATCACCGTTGTATTTCTCTTGATCTCTCTCTATATATATATATACACATGCATTGTAATTGTAATACTGATCAAAATCCATAAAATCACCATTACCCTCCGGCAATCAAACATGTCTGGCTGAAAATCTGCGAACTCAGCATATTATCTTTTGTGATGAATCCATACACAATCACGATCAAATTAAAACCCGACTCATATCTAATATACACTATGTCTATCATTTTGTTGACGAACAGTAAAGAAGATCACACATTTATCCCATAAATCCCATGTTTTCCCATTAATGTGCTAAAATCCCATGAAACAAAATCCCCATGAAATGAACAAGTCAACGAATCCCCAGAAAATATGTGTTTTTTCAGTGAAACAGTAGGATAACCAAATTCCCCAAAAATCCCCAGGTTACGAATTGGGCTCCCTGGGCATCCCCCTGGACCGCGCCGAGCGCCGCTTCTGCCGCGACGCCGCGCGCGACAGCTGCGGCGTCTGCGCCGCGGCCGCGGCGAACCGCGCCGAGGCGCGGCTCTTCGCCGGCGCAGCGCGCACGGTGAAGCTGGCGACCAATGCTGGGGAGGCGGGGGAGCTATGGAAGCCATGGCCCATGGAAATTAGATGGATGATAAATGATGATAAGATGACTTGCGGAACTTCAACATGGTGATTTTCCATAGAAACAAGCAAAACGTTAAATTACAAAATGGCAATTGTCATGAAAAATTGGTGGCTGATGCCATATAAAGTGGCAATTTTAATGAAGAATTGGAGGGTTGAACCCGCAAAAAATCTGATTTGTATGAAGAAAATGATGATTAAGCAATTGATTCATGGTGAAACTCGAGGGAGATAGCCACATAGGTTGAGAAAAGTAGGTTACTGAACGGATGTATGGTACAGTACATATCGAACTAGTTAATGTGGGTTACTGCGTGGTCATTATAAACCAAACAAAACTATGGCAAGTTTCATGAGGATAGTGATGAGTAACCATGGAATTTGGGGGTCCCCGAACCTATGCTACTTATGCTACCTATGCTACCATGGGTCGTAGCCTCACGAAGCACTTACGAAGTGGGATCAGTGAGATGATGTTAAGTAGGAATCGGTAAATTCCAATCCTATAGAGTCATCAGCCAACAGCCAACATAAACCAATATTACACTGATATACCCAGAAGAAAATACAACCATTTACGGTAAAATTGGGGATGGTTTACTATTGCTTTACTACCATTAGATCAATTTTGGAACATCATTGTGGGGAGTGATTCTTCGAATCTGTTTTTCTCCACCAGGAATGTCAACCTACCGTGATCTACCATGACCATCCATGATCTAACAAGCCTTAAAAAACATACCCTCCGGCTATTTAACATAGCCATGGAAAATGGCCCATGTATGGATGGTTTACCTATTAAAAATTGTGATTTTCCATGGCTATGTTAAATAACCAGAGTGCATTATATATATATAGATGGATCAATTTTGGAAACCAAGTTCAGGTTCAACGTCTCCCAGCTGCCTGGTCAATGGGTGACGCCTCAAGCAGCCTGGCGCGGGGGAAGGCTCCAAACAGCGAGGCGTGGTCCGGGGAGTCCGGGGAGCCAGGCCTTTAAAAAGAGTTGCTGTCCAGGAAAATGTATGAAAATCACATCCTGAAATAGTGGTAATGATAGTAACTGATAGTAAGGTATCATGGGAACCCCCAGCAATATCTCTAGATAGCATCAAACCCCAAAGACTATGTTTCAAGGGAAACCCATAGATATCCATGTGTTAACATTGGTTTGTTGACCCCCAATTCCCCCAATATGGCCTGATGATGGTGGTGGTCAGGCGCTGGTGGTGCCAGCCATGCCCGCCAGAGATTGGTTGCCAGGGGGCGGCGACGCCGGCGCCAGCGCTTGGCCGGCCGAACTGGGGACCTTGCCCTTGCTGAAGGTGCCAGAGATCCTCAGCGTCATTGATGGGTCGGAACCCCCCCTACCGCCTACCCCTATTGGATGTATTGGATGTATTGGCATTGTCCATTTTTGAGGGTCTATATATGGGAGGAGTATGCAGCATGCATATGTTTTTTTTTGGTGTGGTTTTGTGAGTTTGTCTTCATTGTTGAGTTTACTATTTAAACACTTGCGCAAACAGTTTGTTGGGATTTTTTCAACTTTATGTTTATAGGCCAGTCCAAGGGAAACTAATCTAAAGGGGGTGCCAGGCCATACTATTCCTGAAGTTGGGTGGGAAATTACATGGATCTCAAGAACCAGGACTATGATGACATGGATGCAATCTTCCCAAATCTTCAGTTTGGGATCAGCTGTATTCTTTCGATTTCAAACCTCAGAAAGTGGCAAGTCACTGGGTTCTTGAGCCCCAATCCTAGGGGGGTCCTGACTTTCTCCTCACTTTTTCCTCCTACAAAGCGCTGGACAGAAAGGCTTCCAACCTCTTCCGCTCCAAGGAGCAGCACCTTGGCGAAGAGCCCCAGTGCCTTGTGGGGCTACGCTTCTGGGATTCGCTCAGCCCTGGTGCCCCTGCGGGCCAAATGGTATCGCCTCAAAGGCCTGCCGCCTCGCCAGGAATCAGCACGGTTTATATGGTCCCAATATGTTCCAATTGTCGCGAAAAACATTCATGATAGATAGGTATAGATAGGCAATTGATAGGTATCAGTCACGGTCAATTCCAGATTTGGATCGTCCAAAGTGGGGTGGTTCTCAAAGACTTGGCTGCGCTCCACTACATTGGCTTTTAGCGCTTTGCCGCTTCGCAGCCTGGCCCAAGTCGCAAGCATTCCTGGTCAACTCTGCCTCCGCAATGTCTACCGACATTGAGTTGGGCCGCGTACACATGACCGTTAAGGTGGGAGATGACAAGGTGGAGTACAAGCCCAAAGAGGGTGCCTGGGTGCTGCATGGTGCGAAATGTTCAAATGAGTTGCGCTGTTCAATGTGGTTCCCCTCTGGCAATCTGACGTGGTCATCCTCGTTTTAGATCATTTTGATGTTTCTCCATGTGTGCATATCTTCGAGTTAAAGATCAAGGATATAAGTCTTGCAACATACATTTCCAGTAGTACCGCACAAGGCGGTGGCGGAAGTTTCAAAGGAAACCTATAGATCACGGATGGCAGAGCGAACCCACTGATGGACGGAAAGGTGGTGGGGGGAGTTGTGTTTTCTGGAGTGGCTGCAATGGTTGCAGTGGTCACCTCACCACAACTGTTGGATGTAGTGTGGTGTAGTGCAGTTGTAGTTGCAGTTGTAGTTGTAATGTATTGTAATTACAGTAGTGTAGTGTAGCGTAGTGCAATGTAGTGGCAGTTGTAATTGTAGTTGCAGTTGCACTTGTAGATGTAGCGTAATGTAATGCAATGAGTGTAGTGTAGTGTAGTGTTGCGTAATGTAGTGTAGTAGTTGTAGTTGCATGTATATTAGTTGTAGTGTGCTGCAGTGTAATTAGTGTAGTACAGTGTAATGGCGTGTAGTTAGTTGTACTTGTAGCTGTAGATTTGGTGGTGGTAGTAGTAGTAGTAGTAGTAGTTGTTGTTGTTGTTGTTGTGGTGGTGGTGGTGGCAGTAGCAGTAGCAGTAGCAGTAGCATCAGCAGCAGCAGCAGCAGCAGTAGTTGCTGTTGTTGTTTTTGTTGTAGTTGCAGTTGTAGTCGTAGTAGTTGTTTGTCTATCTACCTAATCTATCTATCTATCTATCTATCTATTTATCTATCTATATATCTATCTATCTATTGTTCTTATCTTATTGTTTTATCTTATCTTATCTTATCTTGTTTTTCTTATATTGTCTTATCTTATCTTATCTTATCTTACCGTACCGTATCGTATCTATCTATCTATCTATCTATCTGTCTATCTATCTATCTATCTATCTATCTATCTGTCTATTGATCTGTCTATCTATCTATCTATCTATCTCTCTCTCTCTCTCTGTCTATCTATCTATCTATCTATCTATCTGTCAATCTATCTATCTACCTACCTATCTATCTATCTATCTATCTCTCTCTCTCTATCTATCTCTATCTATCTCTATTGTTATCTATATCTATTTCTATTTCTGTATCTGTATCTATATCTATATCTATATCTGTCCCTATGTTTTTTTTCTATATCTATATCTGCATTTATTTCTATCTATATATATATATATCTTTTTCTATTTCTATATCTCTATCTATCTAATCTAATCTAATCTAATCTGATCTGATCTGATCTGATCTGATCTAATCTATCTATCTCTCTATATCTCTGTCTGTCTGTCTGTCTATCTGTCTATCTGCAAGCTTGAAAAGGAAGCTATTCTGCGAGACTTCCTCAGTTTTTGAATTTGACAACATCAGAAACACAGCAATTCAGAGAGACTTTCTCAAATTTTGAAGTTGACAACATCAAAAACGAAACAATTCTGCGAGACTTCCTTCAAAAATGGAAAGTTGAATGCAGAGCCGACGGCCTCGTACCAATGTGTTTTGCGATTTTTCGACTCCACTGTCTAAACTACTGCGCCTGCCAGGAAAAAGTGATACCGGGTCATACGAAGTGCTGCATCTGTCACGCTAAATCATCTCAGCAAACCTGAAGATCTGATGCTCCAAAATGCAACCCCTCTCAGGAAAGCGCCCGGACCTCCTAACAGCTCTGATGAACATGTCTCTTGTACTGCACCTGCCACGGAAAATGCATCTTTGAAGATCCTCTTCAAATGTCCCACGCCTGCCATCGTTTTTGGAAATGCTACAAAACCCTCACGTTTTGCTCGCTTTTGACAAGGTGCACAATCCCGCGTGCCTGCCGCGCGAAACAACATCTGAACGTCCAAAAGTCGTCCGAGCATGTGATGTTTTTAAAATCCTCCTGGGAATTTAGCTTAAAAAGTTCAGGACATGATGTCTTTAAAAAACTGTATTTTTTAAGGGACATACCTGGCCGGCAAAAAAAATCAGTTCTATTTTTTAAGGTAATCCTGTTGTTTGACGGCCTCCTATTCTTTACGAGGCCTTCCTAGGAAGATTCTAGGAACTTGTTTTTTTTGATTTTTTTGGTATGTTTGGGATTGTGTGTCAAATGCCTGCCGCTTCTGGAGATGCTCACAAACGTCAGAGTGAATGCATGTAAATGGCGGAAAGCCCTGCCCGAGGACTTCGACCCCAAAACGGGGAGGTACAACGGGGAAGACACAACGGGGAGACCCCAAGGGGAGACCCAAAGGGGAGACCCAAAGGCGGGAAAACACAACGGGAAAATGATGCAAAATGAGAAATGTCACTTTTATAAATTTTAAAAAATCATTTCTATCAATAAATTATGTCCACAATGAGGTTTAAAACATTCAGTGGGTCATTCTCAAGGTATTGGAATGAAATTTTGAAAGTTTTTTTTTCGATTTTTTTTTCAAAATATGTTGAAAAATGAAATTTCCATCCATAAATTCAATCCACAATGAGGTTTAAAGCATTCAGTGGGTCATTCTCAAGGTATTGGAATGAAATTTTGAAAGTTTTTTTTTTCGTTTTTTTTTTTGTCAAAATATGTTGAAAAATGAAATTTCTATCCAAAATCTTAAAAATATTCAGAACATTTCATGCTTGACTTCAACTTGGGTATCCAATTCTTTAAAGGGGCACCCCTTGGTGTGCAACTTGGGTCTCCAATTTTTTAAAGGGACATACCTGGCTACTGTGTTGCAATCTTGGTTCATTGGGGTTAGATTCTTTAAGGCTGAAATTTGCCCTGGTTCGCATTCTTTAAGAGGCTACCAGTGGTCCCTTAAAGATTCAGGGGTCAGGGTCGGAGGCCGAATTGCAAGGGGGATTTTTTAAATGTTTTTAACATTTTGACTTCGAAATGTGCTTCGCGCCACAACGGCGTGCACTTTTTGGACATCTCAACTTCCAAAAGTGGTCCTAACATGTGGTGCTTTTAACATTTTGACTTCGAAATGTGCTTCGCACCACAACGGCGCGCACTTTTTCGACATCTCAACTTCCAAGAGTGCTCCGAACATGAGGTGCTTTGCACATTTTGGCTTGGAAATGTGCTTCGCGCCATAACGGCATGCACTTTTTCGACATCTCACCTTCCAAAAGTGGTCCGAACATGAGGTGTTTTGTGCGTTTTGACTTGGAAATGTGCTTCGCGCCACAAAGGCGTGCAATTTTTGATCAATTATCTGGCCACATGGCTCCGCACCCGCCGCTTTAGCGAGCCTACCTTTCGACCCTCCGGAGCCACAAATCATTGGAAAAACACAGTGTTTCGCGACTTTCCTACCTTTTCGCGCAATTGGATCTTCTTTCTTCTGACTCTTTTTCTTCTCTGATCTTCTCTCTTCTTCTCTCTTCTTCTCTCTTCCTCTTCTTCTTCTTCTTCTCTTTCTTCCTTCTCTTTCTTCCTTCTTGCTTCTTCCTTCTTCCTTCTTCCTTCTTCCTGCTTCCTTCTTCCTTCTTCTTCTTCTCCTTCTTCTTCTCTTCTCTTCTCTTCTCTTCTCTTCTCTTCTCTTCTCTTCTCTTCTCTTCTCTTCTCTTTTTGATCGTCTTTCTTCTTCTCTTCTCTTCTCTTCTCTTCTCTGACCTTCTCTTCTCTTCTCTTCTCTGGCCTTCTCTGACTCTTCCCATCTCTGCTTTTCATCTGTCCATATTGTCAGAAGTTTGACTTCTAAATTTCCCTCGATAATATATATCAATATAGCATATTATACATCCCATAGATTCCCACAGGATGTCCCAGTCAATCCCATTAAGAACTTTATGCTTCCTATGCTTCAGAGCCAGGTGTGATGTCATCCACCTACCCTGTCTTCGAGTTTGACAAAGCAGAATGGGACAAGCACGTTGGGACGGCCGCGGATGGCATGGTGATCACCTATGAGGTGGAGAGCACGTCCGAGACCACAAGCACGGGTGGTGAAGGTGCCTGGCAAGGAACTCATGGTGGCCCTGGGGTGGTTGGATCCCCAATTGCTTTCAGATACCAGCTTGGATTACCTGGATATTTAAGAGAACTTTATTGTGAGTTGTTGGAAAACAAACTAGTTGGATGGGTCAAAATGGTTATGTATGGTTATATACTGTACCTAAGACAACCGGTGATATTTGTTGGTGCATAAAATATCCAGAGAAATAGGTTAGATTAGGTAGTATGTGTTCTTGGACCCCAATTCCACAGTACTAAGCCTCATTCAACCCTTGGTTGAATGTTATGTTTGAAAGGGCTGGCCACACAATCCACTACGTATGGGAATGCATGCCTATATTATTGCAGTGTTGCAGTACTTGTATATCCTGGTTTTCATGTAGTTGGTGATTTCAAATATGTTCCGTTTCCCCCTGCGTATCGCAGGATGGCCCCCAATGACTTTGCAATGTTGATGTCACACCGCAGTTACCCATTCCCTGGGTTTATGATGCTTAGTCAGGGTTGGTAGTACCCATTGCGGAACATTGTGGGTATACCCATTAACAAACAAACAGGTCGGTAGAGGAAGGTGCGGCTGTTCTGCCCCTTGGTGCAGAGAAGTGAAGGGTATGTTAATGAATGGGTTCTGTCAGCAGATGTCAGCAGGGTCAATAAGATGCCTAGTCAAAAGTGTTTCTATTTCAGGGTGCCTAAGTTCCGCTGTGGTATGCCGTGGTTTTCAATTGGTTACAACATTTACAACCTGGCTCAGTGATGTTTATCTATTGATTGTCATTGCATGCCTGTACAGGGATAGCTATTGTCCAAGAAATTGTGGTGCAGCATGGGGGATGCGGCCGCGCCAGGTGCAGTCCCTGAGGGTGGCTTCAAACACCCCCGCACCAAGTGCAAGATAAAGTCAGTCGCGGTTCCAGTCGCCACTAAGGGCCGTTGAAGCCCGATGGCACTTGTTTGAAGGATCGTTTGAAGATAGTGATGTGCCGGATGGGCTCCATGTTACTGGCTAAGCTGGAAGTGGAAAACTATGGAAAATTTGGGAAGACATGTGTTGTTCAGTTGTTCAACCGGAAGAGGCCTCACCATATATTGCCATATATGGCATCTATAAAGGAGACTTCCCCTTCCAGACGTGTTGCCCAGATGGCATGCTGTCATTTTGATAGCTTGGAGAGGAGGAGCTGGAAGAAAAGGGCCCAGCCCTTGGGAATCCAAGGGTACCATCCATCCCCCTGCCCTTGATGAAAAGAGTGAGGGCATCATTCAGTTTGTACCTTGCTCGTGCGAACAAATGCTCGTGTGCATGCACAGAAGGCAGACACACACACACACACTGCGACAATGAATTTTAGTTCACATACAGACAGTTGCAGAGACTACTTGCACCAAAAAGACAATGTGAATGAACTATATAGGATATAGGGATATCACATTGTGTGTATATATATATATATTATATATATATAGTTGATTATATAATGACCCGTGTTATCGCTTATGTCTCCCTTGACAATCAACCTAGTTATAGGGGTTCATAAACACAGGTTGGATGATTTCGCCAGGCTGTGGGAATCGGACAGAAGGCTTTCCCGTGGAAAAGGTTGGCAACAAGGGCGATGCTTGGAAGCATGGGAAGGTGCTCACTTTATGTTGGAAACATGTGGAAACATGTGGAACAGATATGAAAAGATCTATTGAGAGCGTGTCCAACATCATTTAGCATTCGGATGTTGCATGATTTTTTTGTTTTTGGAAAACCATTTCTATGAGTTGTGTTTTTATCAATGTCCTGCGCGTCTTGTAGCTACCCAGCTGGCCCATGACGTTTGTTCTTACAGAGATGTGTATCCTGTTTGGTAACTGGATGTAATTGGATGATATCTATTTGTGGTTCATAGCAAGTGGTGGGGTGCACATCGAAATCATTTTATAATTTTATAATTTCTCCGGCCCATTGCTGCCTTTTCAGCCATTTTGGTCTTAAATATGGTTAGTTATTAGTTAGTATAGAATCTGGGACCTACACATTTTTTGAAACACCAGCCCAGATTTACCATGCTTCCAAATGAGTTGCGCAATTTTTGTGTAGCCCTAGTGTTTTCAACCCATCCACCATGTTGAACCTCCAATCTTCACATCGTGCCTTTTTTCCAGGAGTGGTCGCTGCGGGGCTCCTGTTTTCAGCACACTGCCTGGACGGAGCTCCGCATGACGCAGCTGGTCAGCAGGGTGCTGGAGACGGCGGGCTTCGATTGCGCCAACCGGATGCCTGGCTGAAGGGTTTCATGGAGGTCTCCATTGATGGTTATAATTTTAATGTCAACCCCGGATTAATAAACCATGGTTTATTAATTAGGGGGTACCCTCCAAATAGTCACAATATGATACATAAATGGTACCATCCCAATTAATCAGCCGATTCTTTTTTAATCCAGGGTTGACATTATACAAGGTCAAAGACACTTATAGCTACATTTTGGGGATATGATGAACATTCGGAGAAAAAAAACAGAAGTCCAAGTTATTTGATGGTAGTTGGTTGAGAACAGCTATAGAATGAATAACTCGCCTTTCTACGATAGATATGCATTATGGTAGATATATCGAAGTCGTTTTCATGGGGGTTATATGCCCCAATCTAGGACAGGGTTCTTCAAATCAACTCTGATCAAACCAGTGCCATTTTTTTGGGGGATGATTCTACCTGCTCAACTGCATGTGTTTCCCCTTCTTATCTGGAGGAATGGGAGCAACCCTTGTTAAGGTGGAATGAGAGTATTGATATATCAAATAATGATGGTAGGTGTTTGCATACTGAAATAACCATATATATATAATTTCTCTCAAAGAATTATGAACCATTGCTCTTTTGGTTCTGCAAGTCCCCATTTCTGACGCACCCCCACAAAACGGATCAACACTGGATGGTATATCCGATTATCCTAAATATTCAGCTGTATGTTTGAACGGTAGCAATGATGAGCCCACGGGAGGACAGGCATTGAAGAGATACTCCCGGGAAAAGAAGACGAGTTGAGACGGAGAATGGATCAACTCGACCACATGATGCTTGTTTTCCATACTTAGCTCAGATCCATCATTGACTCTGAAACGTTGAACAACATTAATGACGATTAAGAACGATTAATAACCATTGAAACAACTAAAAACACAAAAACAAACAAACATAAACAAACAACACATGAACCAACCTTTTGTGGCCAGAGTTGGCTGTCACATGGCTGGTTGATGTGTTTTCCGATCCCTTTCTACGGAGATGAGGAAGTTGTCGTGTTTTGAACCAAACGCGATAAATATGTTAAGGGGTAACTATCCCAAATTTGCCTTATTTCAGGTCAGTGAATTATGATGATTTACCCAGAGATGTTGAACATGTGATTTCAAACCATGACAAGTCGTGGCAGCAAGGTCCAGCACGGGTCATTCGATAGTTGGACGAATAACAGACTTTTAACGACCCATCACGTGCCTAGGTTGAGAAAGAATGAAGAACATTATATAGTGAACTTGTATGTATGGCAACCCCAGCATAGATGGAACTGCTAGCACCTGGAAATCATGGGGAACGTTTGATGAACAATGAGTCACGGGAATCATTCATATATCTTTTGCACCCCTCATGCTGTGCAATCCCCAACCTGGATCATGGGAAAGTTTAAAGGAACCCCCCTACAAAGCCCTAGAACTGTGGGCAAAACCCATGGTTTTCGATCAAGATGTTCCCTTAAAGCCATAATCATATGATCAAACTTTGCCCATGTTCCAGGTCTTCAGGTCTTAGCTATTCATCACCAAGGCCCTTGGGCCTGTACCTCTACCAGCCAGACCCGGAGTCCGGCGCATGGCCACATCCCGAAGTCGAACGTTGCTGCGTGGTCTTCGAGACCTTGGGCAACGCGCGTCTCTGGGCAGAGATGGGGCAGACCCAGGGGCAGACCGCATGGCCCCAGGATACACCCAGGGCTAGTGCTGGGTTTGTTATGATTTCTTCGTTTTGGGGTGCGATAATGGGGTTGTTTATCATGATTTAGGACATGGTTAAAAATGTTAAAAGTCATGACTTTTGGGGCTCACAAGTGGCCTTGTAGCGGTTTAAGGGAATGTAAAGCAGACTCTGGTAACTAGACATATTACTTATTACTGTAAGTTCACTTTGAATGGTTGGGCGGATGAACCCCCAATGTGCGGGTGATGTGAAACCAGACATGTAACCAGCTGTGAAACCGGTGATGACAAAACATGACAAAAACAATGCAAGGGGCCAGGCCAGAACACATTTGCAGTGGGGACGAGCTACCCCTCATCGGGTTGAGTCACATAGAAATGGCTGCCCAATGCGCAGTTGGTATAGTGGACATAGAGGCTGATAAGCTGCAACTGGTAGGGCAGGTCGTGAATTTTCACTGCTAGAGATTCCACGTTAACAGATGCAAGCGGATTTTGTAGAGGTTGACGTGCTTTTGCGGCACTTTTGCAGATGCCACCTCTTGATAGCATTCGGATGCTTCGGATTAACATGGTGTGTGAACATTTCAGGAAAAGAGCCAGAGAGAGAAGGAGAGAGAACATGTACATCTTCATCAGCAGGATGGTAAGGTATTCCAGGGATGCATGACAGGTTTTCCTTGCAAAACTGAGGCTATTCATTTTTTTCCGCTGCTTGCACCATCGCACTTGGTATTGCCGTTTGAATTGCCTCAACCTAGCTAGACCTCAAACTAACCATTAAAAAAATAGTACTCTAGGTGCCTCACCCCCAACAAATTACCCACTTCTTACATAATCCCTTCACCATCCTTCACCCTAATTTTTACACACACACACACCAAACGAAAGACTGGCTTTGTGTTGGATCTATTCGATCCCTAATGGATGTGTTTCATGTGATCAGGGGGGATCTAGGGCCCGGAGGGCGCAGACAAAACTGAGGGTCAAGACCCAACACTGCCCAACTTCGATCACTTTTTTGTTCCATTTAGGAGGCATAAACATGTATAAACTCAACAGAACCCAACTTTTATATACCGGACATCACTTCCCATCCCACCGGACTCCAACGGACCCAGGCCTGGGCGACCACCTCATTGGGGGGATCTTAGCCTTGCTGCCTCACCTCTTCGAGCCAGACCTTGCGGAACTGAAGTCACCTGGTGAACCAACGGGAAGATACGCCAAACCTCACGACATGAGCGTTTTTGAACCAATACATAGAGAGAGAGAGAGATTTCACAAGAGCGCCATAGCCATTTCTTCATGAGATTTTCATGTGATTTTGGGCCCCCATTTTGGGTGGCATGTTTGTTTTTGCCTGCGAATTTTCGGGTAGTTTGCTTTTGGACAACAGTTTTATCATGACCCCTACCATCCGAAATTATTCCGATGTGGATGTTACATCTAGGAATAATTTTCCAGAATAATTTCCTTGGGAATAATTTTTAGGCACTATGGGCAAAGTGTAGGTGGCAAGACATTGGAATAATTTTGGTTAAAAGAGATAACACGATGTGGATAGACATTGGGATAATTTTGGTTACCGATGTGGATAGACATTGGAATAATTTTGGTTAACAATGTGGATAGACATTGGAATAATTTTGGTTAACAATGTGGATAGACATTGGAATAATTTTGGTTAAAAGAAACAGCAGGATGTGGATAGACATTGGAATAATTTTGATATGTAGCCTTTCAAAATGCGTGAAATTATGTGTTATAACATAACATCAAACGGTTCAAATGTTGGAACGAACTATATAGGTTTAATCTGTGATGTATCTTGCATAACCTGTAAATAACTAAATCTTCTTTTTCTAGCTTGACCAAGAAAGATCGAGAAACTTTAAAACCTAATTTAACAAGTGACCTGAGGAACCGTTTCTTGACGCCAAGAAACCAATCTCAAGGTCACTTGTAAAAATTGGGTTTGAAATCCTCTTGACTTTTGCTGGCAAAATGACTGAAGTCGTTTTGAGGGATTTTGCATGAGTAATAAAGTGAAAACGCATTGATCACCAACCTTCTTCCCCAAAAATTCTATCTCCGAAACCACCCGTATCCTCACCTGCACGCGTGTGAATACATTCTTGCTGTCAACATATGTTTGGCACCCCTGTTGTATATAGGTTTAACCTGTAACTTAGATAGCTTGTGACTAGCCACATATTTTTCTGGGCTCAAGGAATGTCAAGGAATACAGGATGTTGTGTTGATGTATTGTCAATGATTTTCAATTCAACATGCAGTGATCCTCAGCCCTTTCCCACCAATATTCTACCTCCGAAACCACCCGCATCCTCCACCTGCGGGCGTCAAGATTACTCCTGGTGTCAACATACCTCTAGGACCCGTGCTTTATAGAGGTGTAGCCTGTAAAGTAGCTTGCGCAGTCTGTACATAGCATTTGTGTATTTCTGGCCTCAAGGAATATCAAGCAATCAAAGAGATCATTCTGATGTATTTTGAGCTTCAGTTGCGAATACAATTAATAATCACCAACCCTCTTCCACAAATCCATATCCGACAGTGCCCGCATCCTCCAACTGTGGGCGTCGAAATATATTCCTGGTGTCAACGCATGTCTGGCACCCCTGTTTTGTATAAGTTTAACCTGTAGCTTACATAGTCTGTGACTAGCTACGGCTTCTTTTTTTGGAAGTCAAGGAATGAAGGATGTCGTTCTGATGCGTTTTGAATGAATTTCAAGTCAACTTACAATGATTATAAGCCCTCTTTCACCAATATTCTACCTCCGAAACTACCCGCATCCTCCACCTGCACGAGTCAAAATTATTCCTCGTGTCAGGACATGTCTGGCACCCCTGTTTGTTTAGGCTTGAATACGCTCTGCAACTCTTTCCAGAACCAGAGGTACCAAGGACCCCCTGTAATTGCAGGGGCGATGATAAAACACGGGTTCCGGACATGATAATTTAGACGCGTACAGGTGGAGGATGCTGATTGCTTTGAAGATCGAATATTGGGGAAAAAGGGTGATGACCAATTGATTTCTATTGATTTTTATTTCCTTACTCGTTTAAATTTATGGAAAAGTATCTTGCATTACTTTCCCTGTTGAATCTGTATCAAAGAAGGTTAAACGATGTTAAACACACGTCTCGAAACTTTTCTGCACATCCTGTAAGCCAGAAAAATGGAGGGGCTTTAGCTAGTTATAGACAGAGCAGGCCACTTTGCAGGTTAAACCTCTACAGCACAGGGGTGCCAGACATGTGTTGACACCAGGAATAATTTTGACGCGTGCAGGCGGAGAAGGATGCTGGTGGTTTCGGAAGTAGAATATTGATGCCTTTGCAGGTTAACCCTCTACAAAATACGGGTGGCAGACATGTGTGTTCACACCAGGAATAATTTTGACGCGTGCAGGCGGAGAAGGATGCTGGTGGTTTCGGAAGTAGAATATTGATGCCTTTGCAGGTTAACCCTCTACAAAATACGGGTGGCAGACATGTGTTGACACCAGGAATAATTTAGATGCGTGCAGGTGGAGGATGCTGATGATTTTTGGAGATCGAATATTGGTGGAAAAGGGTTGGAGATCAATTCATTTTTATTTCATAATTCGTTCAAATTTATGGAAAAGCATCTTACATTACTTTCCCTGTTGAATTCTGCATCAAAGAATGTTAAACGATGTTAAACACACGTCTCGATACCTTTCTGCACATACTGTAAGCAAGAAAAAAGGATGGTCTTTAGCTAGTTACAGATAGAACAGGCCACTTTGCAGGTTAAACCTCTACAGCACAGGGGTGCCAGACATGTGTTGACACCAGGAATAATTTTGACGCGTGCAGGTGGAGGAGGATGCTGGTGGTTTCGGAAGTAGAATACTGATGCCTTTGCAGGTTAACCCTCCACAAAATACGGGTGGCAGACATGTGTTGACACCAGGAATAATTTAGATGCGTGCAGGTGGAGGATGCTGATGGTTTTTGGAGATCGAATATTGGTGGACAAGGGTTGGAGATCAATTCATTTTTATTTCATAACTCGTTCAAACTTATGGAAAAGCATCTTACATTACTTTCCCTGTTGAATTCTGCATCAAAGAAGGTTAAACGATGTTAAACACACGTCTCGATACCTTTCTGCACATACTGTAAGCAAGAAAAAAGGATGGTCTTTAGCTAGTTACAGACAGAGCAGGCCACTTTGCAGGTTAAACCTCTACAGCACAGGGGTGCCAGACATGTGTTGACACCAGGAATAATTTTGACGCATGCAGGTGGAGGAGGATGCTGGTGGTTTCGGAAGTAGAATATTGATGGAAAAGGCTTGATGATCAGTCCATTTTCAGCTCATTGCTCTTTGCCATGTGTGGAAAAGCATCTTGCATTACTTTCCCTGTGGGCTTCTGCATTCAACAATGTTGGATGCATAGCTCGAGACCTTTCTGCAGATCTTTTCGGCGGTAGATTCTGGGTGGAAGAGGGCTGATGATCATTGCATTGTCGTTTGAAAATCGGTGAAAAAACGTGAGCAAACATCTTGGGCTGTTGAATTCCGCATTAAACAGTGTTAAGCAATGTTAAACACATGGCTCGAGACCTTTTTGATCCTTTTTGCACATCCTTGAAACCAGGCAGAGAGGGCTTGAGCAATTTACAAACTGCGCAAGCGACTCTACAGGCTACACCTCTGTAAAGCACGGGTCCTAGAGGTATGTTGACACCAGGAGTAATCTTGACACCCGCAGGTGGAGGATGCGGGTGGTTTCGGAGGTAGAATATTGGTGGGAAAGGGCTGAGGATCACTGCATGTTGACTTGAAAATCATTGACAATACATCAACACAACATCCTGTATTCCTTGACATTCCTTGAGCCCAGAAAAATATGTGGCTAGTCACAAGCTATCTAAGTTACAGGTTAAACCTATATACAACAGGGGTGCCAAACATATGTTGACAGCAAGAATATATTCACACGCGTGCAGGTTAGGATACGGGTGGTTTCGGAGATAGAATTTTGGGGGAAGAAGGTTGGTGATCAATGCATTTTCGCTATCTTACTCATGCAAAATCCCTCAAAACGACTTCCGTCATTTTGCCAGCAAAAGCCAAGAGGATTTCAAATTTTCAAACCCAATTTTTACAAGTGACCTTGAGATTGGTTTCTTGGCGTCAAGAAACGGTTCCTCAGGTCACTTGTTAGATTAGGTTTTAAAGTTTCTCGATCTTTCTTGGTCAAACTAGAAATAGAGGCTGTAGGATTGTACAAGATACATCACGGGTTCAAGTTGCAAAAGACAAGATGCCGTTCAGAAATTCGCAATAGGACAAAAATGACGCGAGAACGCGTGCGACAGGTGGCCTGAAAATTAGATACAACTTTTGGAACCGGTTCAGATTTTTTTCGCCAAACGGAGCCTGAGACTGCGACAGGCATTTTGCATTCCAACTGATCACACAAGATTCGAATGTTAAGATGGTTTTTGGGTCGAATGTTTACATGGTTTTTGGGTCATACTTGAACAAACCTGGAGATGAAATCTACATTAAAAAAAACAAATTATTCTGGATGTGGCTCACCTCAGAATAATAATGGCTCCAGTGTAGGTCATAGACACTGGGATAATAAAAAAACATATTCCAGTGTGACACCCACATGTCCACACCAGAAGGGAGGGGCCATGTTTTATCAGGGATCAGAATGGACACTTCCGTCAGCACTTTTTTTGTTTCACCTGATGAAAGTTAAGAGCGTAACATCAAGAGCGTGTTGCAAGTTGAATGTGAAAGTTAAGAGCATAGGATCTTGCATGCGGATGAAAACGCAAAAGAATAGAACGCTCTTGCCCCCCGCCACCCGCATGAGATATGCTAACAGGAGATATTCGATCAAGATGCAAGAGAATAGAACATTATTGACTAGAACGTTATTGTCCCCCCACCCCCACCCGAGATATGCAAACAGGAGATACTCGATGAAGACGCAAGAGAATAGAATAGAACGTTATTGACTATAGAACGTTATTGCCTCCCCTACCCCCACCCCAAGATATGCAAACATGGGAGAAAGCAAGACAAAAACGCTAGTGCGGTTTTCCCTCGGCTGGCTACAAATATATACAAAATTATACAACTATGATATCACACACACACACCCATGCACGCACGCATGCATGTATATAATATCATAATATCTCTATGATGCATATTTCATGAGGTATTAGAATTATATATATACATGATTATATATGTATAAATATGTATAATATACTATATATATATATATAGACGTATAGAAATTGATTGATTTTCCTATGTGTAGCTGATGGTTCCCCTGTTCCCCCCATTTGCTTCGCGCCTTAGGCGCTGCATCCTGCGCGGCCGGGACTTCGACCCATCGGATCCTGAGCTCCTGGAGACTGCCGACGTGGTGAGCTGCGGAATGGCCACCGCGGACGTGTCTTGGATGGGCTGGTTTACTATTAACTAGCAGTATGTGTATATATTATATATATATATATAATATTCATATAAACAAGAATTATTATTATCATTTCTATTATTACTATTTATTATTGTTATTTATTTTTTTTATATATCATTATATAACTGGGTAGAATTTGGTTATTACATGTTATTACTACACGCTTACGAATTGGGATGCAACCTCAAAATTCCTCGATATTATTGAATGCCCCCATCAATGACTGGTCACCCAAAATGACGAAATCCAAGTCTTTTGAGAAGTTTTCATTGTGGTATTCAAAGTAGAGCAATATTGGTGAAACAGTGGATTTTATTGATTTGTTGATTGGTTAATATGGACAACCCAGCATATTCAAGCGCCCTTGACAGCTAGCCAGTAGGTGCCAGTAGCTTTGGGGATTGTTTGAGGCAATGCTCAGGTCGGTGATGGATGTTGTGCTAGTTTTGTTTCCCCTCCACAGACTGGTAATCAATCATTGGTGGAAAACCTGCAGCTGAAATAGATCTTACCAATTCTACCATTTAAATCATTTCACATCCATTTACTGTATACAGGGGATCACTCAAAACCTTATACCAGAAATTTCTTGGGGACGAATATATCCATCCCAGTTATCCACGGTTTTCCCGTGGATTCCATGGCGCCATCGTTTTTTCGCCGGCGAAATCCAGGTTCTGGCGCAGCTGGGCTCAGCTGGCGCTGCTCCTGCCCGTCAGCTCCCCAAAGCAGAGGAGCTGGAGAATGTGACGCGGCGGAAGCGGAGGAACAAAATGGACATGGGATGATCATCCCATCTATGATCATCCCAAATCTATGGTTGTTCAGAATGGTACCACTTTTGGAACCGGCCAGCTGTTTTAAGGCCGAGGTCGATTGAGGTGCTGTAGGCCACATTTTCTTTGTAATACATGGGGCATAGGCCAACACCAAAAAAACGTACCTCCAGGTTAGCCAACAGATCACCACTTGACTAATTGTACTCAAAATATGTGGCTTAAACAATCTTAAACATGTGTTTCTCTTGTTCACTCACCAGTCACTGTATGGGTTTTTCCTGACTTGGAGTCAGAGGTGCCCATCTTTTTACGTCACCTTTGGGACCACCTCCGCGTGAAGAAAGTCGACATGTCGCTGCTTTTGTGGTTGGCCTGGCGTTTGGGATGGGTGGCTAGGACGAAGACGCTGCGGGTACAAACTTGGATGGTAAATCCTTGAAATGGTGGGTTCTTTGATTTGGGGGTACCCCCAAATAATCATCCAAAATTATCCAAAGTGTTGAGACATGATAGACATAATATAGACATGTTGAACAAGGGGTTAACTCATGTTAACTCCAAGTTGGCAAAATCTACTTTGCAGACCCTCATGAGAACATCCTGTGAAGCTCCTGTGAAGCTCACAGGTGAGAGGAGCCAATGCCGGGAATCTCTGGGAGAAAAAATCTGCAAATCGAGGTGCTCCATGGTGCTCCACCAATCAAGTCTTCACCATTAAAGATAATATAATCTGGGTAAATTTGATCACGACCTCACTGCGACCGAACCCTGGAATCATGGTTAGTAAGGGAAATCATCCCCAAGTGGCCTTAATTCAGGTTAGTGAAATATTATAATTTACCCAGGTTAGATATATATATATACTGTATATAACATGATATATATGTTCCAAAGATTTCCAAAGATTTTTTGAATGTGAAAGGCATCTTAAGAACCACTGCTTGGTCGTTCGACTCGTCGAACCCCGTTCGCATCATGTGTTTCTACTTGAACAACTCACTGATTTCGATATGGTATGTTGGATCTTGTACCTTCCCATATTATGCATATATTTATATATATTGCATATCGTGTATGTGTATATATATATATATATATATATGCACATACTATACAAATCGAATATCTATATTATATATAATTGTATACATTTGAAACATATCACAACAACAATTAGTTATTGTTGTGAATATGTATCATTCCTCTTGAAGCCACAACAAAAAAAACGGAGCCATCGTGAGGAATGTGGTTTGACCTTACGCACTCTTCATGAAGCCCAGATCTCCTGGGGAACATACTCGGACAGCAACCTGACGTGCCAGCGCGTCGCTTGGGGGAAAGCATTTCCTTAAGGGTTGCTTATCGGTGGATGTGGATGAAATGGATTTGTAGAACCATTTTAAGGTATCATGATAAATTCATGTTAACTATGTTGCTGTAGATGTTTTTTGTCGGAGCCATGTTGATCTATTTTGATAAAGGAACTTCATATACCCATAGGATCCATGTATGGTATATATACTAACATTGGGGGTATATTGATGGGATCCATGTTACCATATATTGCAGCACCATGGATCCTATGGGATACAGAGCAAGAATCAACTTCCGCGGAGTATCTCTGCGGTGATCGCGACTGTCACGTGGCACCTCCATAGATTTGAAAAAAATGACCAATATCGCCAGAGTCGTGCTGCGAACTGGTAGCCAAGATCAGAAAACCTCTTTTGGGGGTTTACCAAAACCTGTAATCTTTGGGAATTGGAAAGAGTTTGGGAACTGGAAAATTACATAGAAATTACCATTTGTTTACAAGTAAATCGACTATAGATAGTTTTATATATATATAATATATATATTACATATGTTCATCCATTTTCCAATATGTTAAATTACCAGAGGGGTCTCTTCTTGAATGAATGGATTCCCGGCCCAATCAATCCATTGATATCTATTGATATATGCCCATGACTTCCATACCTGTGAGGTATGGGCATCCATTGCAATGCACACATCAACAATTTTGTTGTGAAGGCAATGGACGCTGGCTCCTTGGCCAAGTTCTTGAAGATCGACACATGCATAGTTGATTTATGATATATGTAGATGGATTGATTAGGTTAAGAATGGTTAAACTGTCACCAACAAAAACACATAGAAATCTTCGAAATCACACACACTTTGGGTGAATATCAAGAACAAATGCACGTATTCAGTATGCATACATCCGTCACTGCTTGCGTTGCAAGAGATCCACTGGAGACAAACAGCAACCGCTTTGCTCATGATGTCCCAGAGTCTGACGGTCAAAACCTTGAGATTCAAACTTTAGATGTAGTATCAAGCCAGCCAGGCAAATGCATAGATACGAGAGATAGGTCATACCCCTGCGCAGTTATACTCGTATGATTTTATTTGAAAATTGCGTGCCCCCAAGTTCCAAAGGATTGTCATCGCTATTCAACCCAGTTGAATGCTATTGCTTGCTGCTATTCAATGTATAAACATGTGTACAATATTGTACGATATAAACCACTAAAGCGACATTATTCCTTTTGTATGATATTTTTATATACCATCTGGTTATTTAACATAGCCATGGAAATTCACCATTTTATAGCTAGGTAAACCATCTATTTCTATGGGCCATCTATACCATGGCTATGTTGAATAACCAGAGGGTAATCACCATTAATCATCCATTAATCATTAATCATCCATTAATCATCATATAATAACCATATAATAGTTTGGTCAGTTTGGTCCTTTGTTTTTTGTTCTTAGCTCCCTCCATGTTCAGCATTGGACCATCTAGGGGGCTGGACCATTCCGCCACAGGAAATGACACCTTCCTGGCTGCTCTGGACTTTGATCCCTGGCCCCAAGGGCCCCAAGGGTCGGTCAGAATTGACCAACAGAAATGGGATGGTCAAGACCTATCCCGCAACAAACATGATATTTCTAGGTTCCATGTTTTTTTTTACGTTTTAGATACCTTCTGGTTATTTAACATAGCCATGGAAAATGGCCCATAGAAATAGATGGTTTACCTATTAAAAAATGGTGATTTCCATGGCTATGTTAAATAACCAGATGGTAAGTATATATATTAAATATTGGCAGTTCAAACAGGATGGAAATCCAATGCTGGCGTGCTATGAGAGCATGGTTAGCCGATGAGGTCTTTATAACCTATCCACAGTCAGAATTCAAGGCTACACACCCAATATATCACATCTCATATCTCATAAACCGAGAGCTCTCCCGCGGGAGCGGCTCAAGTTGCAACCATCATGTGTGCGGTGGATACAAAATGATACTGTTTGACTGCGCCAAGGGCGTCACCAATTTTCCAGTTGGCTTTACCGTTTACCTGAACGTGCAAAAGTGCACTTGCTGAAGGTGAATTCAGCATATGTTATAAGTTTACGTATGTCTTCATGCTAATTCCTTTCTGGGAATGACCTCAGTGGCTAAAAAATACTAAGAAATACCAAGCAGGCAATCCCACCAAAAAAAAGATAGAAGAGTCGGAAAGCTGGAAATTATAGAGGAAACAGTGAGGAGACATCATTTGTATATCTACAACATCCTGGGCTCACTTGTCTATCGTTATTCTTGGGCCCCTTTAAAGATGTTCCTCACGCACCTTGAAACCACAAACTTGGCATTTTGAGGTTAAAGGTGGCGTTTGTGTCAGTAATTGTGTTTACTTTTGGGGTGTTTTTTTCCCCTAAGGGATGAAGAGGACGCTCCAAGTCTGGATCCATTTGGGCGAATCCTTGTCCATGTTCAACGGCTACAAAGAAATACAGTATGATACAGTAGCATCAGAGAGAGCATCAAATAATTAGCATCAAATAGCTAGATATTATCAAATAATTAGCATCAAAAAGCTTCATATTATCAAATAATAAGCATCAAATAGCCTCATATTTATAGATGTTTGATGATTTTTGCCCATCAGCCGATGAAGAGCCGTCCCAAACGCGGTTCCTTGCTACGCTTAGGACATGGCCTTCACACGCGAGAACGTCCTCCCAGAGGCCAGTGTCACAAATGAAGCTTGGGGATCTTGGGGGCTATGATTGCTATGATTTCCCGGTATACCTTATTTTCATTTATTTTCAGGTCCAAATTTCGTCCCCTTTTCATCCATTTTCATCCCAAGTCTATTTTTTTTTTCGAGGGCCCAAGCTCACCAAGTACGACGGTTATGACAGCCCTGGCTGTGCAACAGCTCACACTCTCTCTAAGTAACTGCCACGTGCAGAGATTCACCATGGAAGTTTCACCATTTCTGGCACTGCCGGAGGCTCTACAGGCGAACAGTTTGCTCAGTGATTTTGATGCAATCCTGAACTTTGAAGCAACCATGGGAATGAAGATGGCGCCTGGGATTCTTCGACCAGCTACTGCTTTCAGGACATGAGTTTCTACCAGATTCAGCCAGATTCAGAGCTAACTGTTAGAGCAATGTAACATTGTTCGTAACAAACATGGCATTTGGATACATTTGGATGATATGATTTTCCAGGCCAACTGAAAATATGCACATCATTTATATCGAATGTTATGTGTGGAACCTTCCCAACTTGGTTCAGATTTGTCACAGGTCTTAAATTTAGTAACACCGCAAAATGATGGAGAGAAGTACTTGGGAACTAGTTGACTGATAGTATTTTACGATATTTTACGTTTTTTTTGGTTGATTATGTATATATATATAATTATGTGTACAAATATAATTGTTATGTAAGGCGCCAACAAAAGAATATCACCAGACCCACCAACCACAACCCAAGGTTTAGCGCCGAGGTATTGGCTGGCAGCGATTTTGCCAGCACGGGTGTTGCCAATGCCAAGACCAGTGAGTCCCATAGGCGATCCCCTGAAGAACCGGCCGGGGGTTAATTACCCTTTGGTAAATTAACATAGCTATTGAAAATTGCCATTTATAGCGGATTTACCCATTAAAATTGTGATTTTCCATAGTTATGTTAATTTTCCAGAGGGTATATTGTATAAGTATATATTTCTGGTTGGTGGTTTGGAACCATGGAATTTTATGAATTTCCACTCAGTTGGGAATGACTAATCATCCCAACTGACGAAGTCATCTTTTTCAGAGGGGTAGGTCAACCACCAACCAGATTAAGTTGAAGCCAGTTGAAGCAGTTCAAAAAAAGTGTGTATAACACTGGAGATCCAGTGTTTGTTTGCTAAACACGTGTTTCAACAACATGACGGATTTCAACATCCAGCAAAACAAAAGGTCAATTGCACGTGAGAAAACTAATGGCTGGGGGATCACAGTGGGTTCAGGTTCCTGGCTGTGGCGATGGCTGGTGGCTCCCTATGGCATGGTGGTAAAGCGGTACTTTTTCATGATCTGGCTGGTGGTTTGGAACATGTTTTATTTTTCCATATATTGGGAATGATCACCCCAACTGACGAAGTTATATTTTTCAGAGGGGTAGGTCAACCACCAACCAGTGATGTATTATTTACCCTCTGGTAATTTAACATAGCTATTGAAAATGGTGATTTATAGTGACATTTCCCATTAAACATGGTGATTTTCCATAGTTATGTTAGTTTACCAGAGGGTATATAAAAAAGGAGACATTTGAAACGAAATGGGCCCCATGGCCCCAGTTCCCCATGACGGCCAGGGTATTGGAGGTGGCCCTCAGAGACACCATGGTCACTGCCTATGCTGCAGCTCTGGAGGGTCAAAGTGATGCACATCCGCCGCAGGATCTTCGGATGAAGATGGTTTGGGCAAGAAAAACGGGGTACGTCGGGGTAGCATGGGACCGGATACCGTATAATGGGCACAAACTTCTATGGCACAAACTTTCATGGAGAGAGAGAGAGAGAGAGTCGTTCTAAATAAGATGTGTTTTGTTCCACCATATTTGGGATAGTGATCCCCGGTAATTTTTTCCTTTTTACTCTGGGGGGTTGAGACCACCAGCCAGTTGTTGTGTTTTACATTAGCATGTTTTTTTGGTAGGTGTTGATCTGATGAAGAAAACCGTGTATTTTCCATTCAATTCCTGACGATTCCAGAAAATGTACATTTATAGTAAACCCTAAAGAGATGCCGAAACGTGTTTCCAGGATGGTAACACTATATATATATATATATATGTATATATTTGCCATATATACATATATATATATATCTATCTATCTATCATTATATATAATATATATATATATATTTCATTATATTTCCAGGTTTCCAATTGACCTATCTATTAATAGTGCAAAAGCGATGAACCCATCCAGCCATCAGATGTGGCCCTGAAAGGTGGACCCAGCTGGATGATCGGGGTGCCGCAATAGCTGGATGGTTAACCGTTATTTATTTCATGGAAAATCCGAACATCAATCGGATGATTTGGGGGGTACCCCTATTTTAGGACACCACCATCATATGTGATCCCAAAAGTTGTGACCCCCTGACAGGATGGAGTTGTATCGGACATACTCCAGTCGGTACATTCACTAGATGATCATACTATGCCAACATTGAGCATTATCCCAGAACGAGGATTCAAGGTCACTTGGGCATTTTCCAGATCATTGAAAGATGTGTGATGTGTCAACTGTGTCAACTCAATTCAGTTTCACGAGGCCAAATGCCAGTTCACCAAACACGTATCCCCAACAGGGTGGCAACAAGCCCCTGGTGCAATGGGGGCAACATGGGGCAACCCTAGCTGGATGGTTTATGCTGGAAAACCCATGAACATCGCATTAATTAAAAACTATAAAATCGATGATTGGGGGGGTACCCCTAAAGAGGAAACCACCATTTGCCAACCAGAAGGGCTGACAAAAAGGGGCCGAATCCTGAGAACAACCACAGGTCCAATGGCACATCACCGTAGCTCATGCCGTTCCGAGGCGGAGCTACGAGAGGCTTCCTATGATGCTTGGACACAGCGGGTCGATCATCCTGCTTCGACCATAAACTGCCCCTAGTTGGGTGCATCCCAGTCATCGGAACTGGATCAAATTATATAAACTTATACCCATATATATATATATATATATGGTCAGCGGCCCCCCCTCGACCCGCACTTTCCATGAGCGAGGGCAACCTCAGACCTTGGTTCTGTATCGTCTTTCTCCAAAGCTCACTGCCAAGCGAGCTCCTGGGCCTGGCCCTATCCGCTTGAAGGATTGGAAGAAGGTGGCCGACAAATTCCTCCGCCGTCGCGAAGTCATTCTCCATACGGATGGTGCCCGTGCCTACAAGTTGAAGATTCCCGGCGTCATCCATGACCACGTGGTGCACAAGAAGAAGCGTGTCAAGATCAACGGCAAGTTCACTTGGGTGAAACCACATTATACCAAGGTCTACACCCACAAACTTCCATGTGGGAAAACGGTGAAGGTAAAGAGTGGCACGCAAATCATCGATCGATTTTGGGGCATTCTGCGACAGGGTTTGAAATTTGTTAGTCGCAAGCCCGGCAGTTGTCTACTTTAGCGCAAAGTTCGCTCCATTCAATGGATTTATTTTCACAAGGGCGCCAACATATGGAAAGCAACTGGTGAAATGTTGCAATTTCTACAGAAATCGTGAGTTTGCCAGCTTCAGTGCCATGGTCGAAAAATCGTAGCTTCCGCCTGCTTCTGCATGCTCATTGTCTTTGCATTTGACGGACTTCCAATCAATATGTTTTCACACATGCTCCACCTTCTTTTCTTCTTTCCTTCACCAAACAAATGTCAACGTAAAAAGCCACGTACACCTGCACATTACATCTGCTTTGTCTGTGCAAGATTTCAATCGTGTCTCCATAAATGAATCGCAAGACATCTGCTTCTGACCCATCACGCGTAGCCCGCCTTTGTTGCGGGTAGGAGGTGTGTCTTTTCAATTTAGCATACTTTAAGTTTTTGGTTCAAACTGACGCTCTGTCCTTTTTGGTTCAAACTGACGCTCTGTCCTGCCAGCCATAAATTTGTTGTTCTAAAACTTCATGGCGCCGCCGCAAATCCTACGACCCGTGCCGCTTGCCAAGCCAAAGCCCAGAAGGACGTCAGCAGAAAACCAGGGAACTTGCAGGGACGTTGAGTGGTGGATATGCGAATCTGAAGAGTTTTGGAGGTGCTTTTTCCTAGCTGTCATCATTTTTGTTCTTAAAACCTTTCTAATTTCCATGTTTTGACAAGACCATTGTGAAATGTTCATACTCCTGCACTTCGCTATCGTGCATTGTTGTGATACATGGGCATTACATGACAATGTTTCCTCACAGTAAATCCTCATCGGAACCCAGGTCTGCTTGGATCACACCGGCCGAATCCATCCACTTAATGATCCCTTCCGAGTTCGATGGTGCCACTGAGCGGAGCAGATCACCACGTGAACGATCGGGCTTGAACACACCTACTTCCCAAATGTCAGAATGGTGGTTCGATGAGTATCCAGACCCGTGGGTAGAGTCACCAGCACACACTCCAGAAGAAGGCCGGAGCGAAATCATGGATATGGTGCCAAACACTCCTCGAGAAGATGCGGCCACACCAGTCCCGATGACACCTCCGGAGTTGTTGGCAGGATTGGGTGGTACGCTCCCGGGCACTCCTCCGGATACACCACCGATGACACCTCCTCCACCATCAACGCCAGAAAGTCAGTGAGAGAACCGCAATGTATAGATTTTCCTGAAATTGGATTTCGAAGGATTGTGTTCTTCGTTAATTTGCACTTGGTTGCCTCTGGGCTCATCATGAACTGTTTGGTTCATTGTTGGAATCTCTAAATTGTGGAGTGAGGAGTGTAAAGTGTGGAGTGTGGAGTGTAGAGTGGAAAGTGTAGTTTGTGGAGTGTGGAGTGTAAAGTGTGGAGTGTGGTGGAGTGTGGGGTGTAGAGTGTGGAGTGTGGTGGAGTGTGGGGTGTAGAGTGTGGAGTGTGGTGGAGCGTGGGGTGTAGAGTGTGGAGTGTGTAGGAGTGTAAAGTGTGGAGTGCAAAGTTTAAAGTGTGGAGTCCAAAGTGTAAACTGTGGAGTGTAGAGTGTAAAGTGTAGAGTGTGAATGGGGGAGTGGAAAGTGCAAAGTGTAAATTGTAGAGTGTGGTGTGAGGAGTGTAAAGTGTAAATTGTGGAGTGAGGCGTGTGGAGTGTAAAGTGTGGAGTGTAGAGTGTGGAGTGGAAAGTGTCGAGTGTGGAGTGTGGCGTGTAGAGTGTAAAGTGTAAAGTGGAGTGAGGAGTGTGCAAAGTGTAGGGTGTGGTTGAGTGTAGAGTGTGCAGTGTGGAGTGTAGAGTGGGGAGTGTAGAGTGTAAAGTGCCACCCCTGCCACGCAAAACGACATGACAACCTGCTTGGAAACCTTCGAAAAGGAGAGATTTTGCAGCTTCCCCCATAGACACGGCGACGCCACAGGAAAACCAGAGACTTGAGACGAGAGATGTGGGAGCATCAAAACGAGCCTTTCGTGCGAGACTTCCTCCAATTTTCACACTTTGTAGCTTCAAAATTTTCCCACGAGTTTTCGTACGAGCCTTTAAATTTGCTACCTCAAAATCGATGTTTCGTGGGAGGCTTCCGTCAATTTTCAGCACATCTCACAAAATGCCACGTCTGCCACGGAATCTGCACCTTGTCGCCACTTGACGCAGCCCTGCCAATGCGCCTCGTAAAAAACACGCAACACTACGCGTCTAAAGTGCTGCGCCTGCCACGCAAAATGACGATGGACACGTCCAAAGTGCTGCGCCTGCCACGAAAACTGCAACGCATCTTCTGAAAACGTCGCAAAAGTATTGCGCCTGCCACACACAATGACTTTCGACACGTTACAAAACACGTCTGAATGTCACGAAGTGCCACGCCTGCCACGCGAAACGCAAAAATTACCCCTTTTGGAGAACTTACCAGAGGCACGGCCATATAGCAATCGCGCGGACGGTTGCGAGTGGTTGCGGACGGTTGGGCAACGGGAACCCTTGCTACGCATTCGGGAAAGAAAGGGAAAGGAAGGGAACGGAAGGGACAGGAAGGGAAAGGAAGGGAAAGGAATGGAAAGGACGGGAAAGGAACGGAAAGAAAGGGAAAGGAAGGGAAAGAAAGGGAAAGAAAGGGAAAGGAAGGGAAAGGACGGAAAAGGAAGGGAAAGGAAGGGAAAGGACGGAAAAGGAAGGGAAGGAAGGGAAAGGAAAGGAGAGGTGAGAGGTTGATTTGGAAATCAGCCGCCGTCGCATGACCGTGCTCAAATGAGCTTGCTTGGCTATTGCACACTGTCACTCAATGTTTCCGCGCAGAGCTGAAATTACTTTACTTCGAGTTATCCCCACCATGATATTTATACGTTTTGTTACTGGCAAATCTTCTGGCATTCTATCTGACATATCTTCTGGCATTTTATCTAGCATATCTTCTGGCATTCTATCTGGCATATCTTCTGGCATTATACCTGGCATATCTTCTGCAATATGTTCTGGCATATCTTCTGGCATTCTATCTGACATATCTTCTAACACTCTATCTGGCATATCTTCTGGTATTCTATCTGGCCGTTGAGGTCCAGCAGTGCACACTGAGCTGGGAAGGTCCCAGGTTGAGGTCCAGCGGTGCACGCTGAGCTGGGAAGGTCCCAGGTTGAGGTCCAGCGGTGCACACTGAGCTGGTTTGGTCCCAGGTTGAGGTCCAGCAGTGCACACTGAGCTGGTTTGGTCCCAGGTTGAGGTCCAGCGGTGCACACTGAGCTGGGAAGTTGGCAAAGAGCTTGGCGAAGAGTTGGCAAGGCGGAAGTTGAGGTGGAAGTTGATGCAGACATGATCGAGGAGAAACTGGAGGAGGAGGCAGAGGAGGAGGAGAAGGCGGAGGACGAGGAGGAGGAGGAGGAGGACGAGGACGAGGAGGACAGCTAGCCGAGGAGAACAACTCTGATAAAATCAAACAACCCTCACCTGGCAGGTGGGGAAAAATGAAATTTGCAGTGAATGCGTCCATAATGTTCATCTTCTAAAAAGAAGCTGGCAAGAGGCGAAAAAGAAACAAACCAATTATCAGTATTACTCTCATTTGTTTGCTGTCGTTTTGCTTTTGGGTTCTCAGGCCCCCCCTTGTTTTGTTGTTTTACATTTTTCATGTCTTTTTCAATGTTTTTGAGTTTTTTTCATTTTTCCCCTGGCTCCCGTACTATGAGCATTTCATGCTTACGAATCGGCATGCTGATTGGGAAGATGGTGTGACCCGTCATGAATACTGAGAATGAACCCACACTGCAGGGATGGTCTTCCAGTCGCTGATATTTGGCATATGAAACATTTTGTTCAACCTATGCATGAGCACGTATGACATTAGAATGTGCTTTATTATCTTTGCTTTGAGTATGTGAGATACATTAGCATCAATGATTTTTTTCGTTTTAAACTATATTGATTCAGGATTGTTATTGGTCGAAAACACCAAAACAAAAATCAAAGCACAGCAACACACCTTTACATGTATGGTGTACTTCTAGTTTCAGAGCATTTTTTCAAAATATGATTCATTCAGGCGAAACACAGAGCTGAATTTGGTCCTGACCTCAAAGTAGAGAAGCTTTGGCCCACAAAAGACGGGCGACCTTCAATCCGTGTCATAGCAGGTTTGCTGCTTCTGAAGGGCGGGTTTTGCATGACGCAGGCAGGGACATGGACTTGGGTTTTTGCCCCCTCCACTGCCTGCGGTGCTTGAGAGAGATCGGGCGTCGACAAGTGGTGGCCTGCAGGAACCAATTTGTTGGAGCACGCTGTTTCCTGAGTGCCCTGGGCAGAAAGTCAACTAGTTTGTTGGAAGCAGTTCCAAATGTGAGTTGGTGTTTTTTACAGCGAAAGAATCCTCCACAAACACCAATCTCTACTGAGGTTGAAGATCCACATTTCATCCTATTTGGATGTTCCAGGGCTACTCGCAGAGCGGGCAACGTCACGTGAGAGGTCCTCAACCGAGGCTCATCGAAGTTTGCAGACTGTAAAACCTTGACGGGCTTCACGGAAATCAAGTGTTTGGTTCCAGGCCTTCATCGATCAGCTTGTGCAGCTTGTCCAACATGATGAGCAGCTAGCTCAGTTCATTTTCGGTGCTGAGTGCTGAGAGCGCGGGAGAATGTGTGATACCTGATTTGCAGGCCTGCCGTGTTCGTGGCTTTTGCAGAGCTTGACGCGGGATTCTACGAAGATCGGAAAAAGATAAAGGAGGGTGAACAAGCCCTTGCAGAAAAAAACATCACCCTGTATGCGAGAGTTCAAGGACCGGGTCAGAAAAGATTACTTTCACAGAAACCGACAGAAACAACCCATGCTTAGGACTGTTTGGATATTCGACAACAATAAAAACAGATGCTGTCACAGCTGTCCTTGAAACGACACATGCTTGTGCAGAAATTTTAGCTGCTTTGAAACTTGCACTATTACGAAATCCTGAGGTCTCAAGAGCTTGTTCAACTCAAATCCAGATGCCATCCGCCGATGGCTGGATTGCAACAACAAAGCTTTCAACCCAGTGCTCAACGGCTTGGTGCGACATACTGTGGGGAAGTCAATGAATCTTTTGCTACTCGCCGTTATTCCACTGATGAGGTTGCCAAAAGCAATCTTGGCATTGAAGTGGTACGCTTGTCAGATAGTTCCATCCAGAGCGTGCGCGAACTTGCCAATGAAATTTTGCAGGAGCACCCCGACTGCAATTGGGAAGCCCGGGCTCCATGTCCGGCCTTGAGGTGCCTGGAAGGACCGTGAGTTCACTCGACAGGATCACGTCACAAAGTGAGCAGATTTCACTGGGATGGCAGAGAAACCAAAGCTTTGGACGTCGCTCTGAACTAGTTCACCACCTTGTGAGGTTTTCATTCATTCATGGGGCCACCCCCAAGCCTGGAGCGTTCGCGGGAAAACCACAAGGATGTCAAGCGGCTATTGGTGGAGAGACAGTGGAGAGCGGACTTCACGGCAGTGGTGAGTGGCAATGGCATCCTTCATTGAGTACCTCGAAAAGACTCGAGGTCTTCCATGGCAGCATTTCCAAATGCATCAGTGGGCCCTACAACAGGAGACTGGAGGATTCGAGTTCACAGTGGCGACGAGACCATTCTGTAAAGTTGATTTGGGAGCGCTTCTGGAAGATGAAAGGTAAGACGGATACATTTGTAGTGGTGCACCTTTGGGCTGAACTTTTAGGTGGCATTTACTGAAGTTGGTGTTCAAATGGATTTGTTTGTTTGGGACTCCTCCAGTTTCTCATTCCTTAAAGGCCCCTTCATGGGCCCACCATATCCAAATCACTCCTTGAGCACGATGCCGATGCACGGTTGTATGTCATTGGTTGTGCCAGTTGGTTTCAGAATGTTTGATACCTGAACTCACAAGAATAATGATCCAAGATCTATTGATGTTGTTTTAGGGTTTCAAGTGAATCCAAAACTCAATTTGTATGCTTGCCTTTTGTGGTGTCACATGGTGTCACTTTCTTCAATAATGCCCATGCCTGCGCGGTGCTTCTCATTTGCCGTTTGGGCTCGGCCAATTTAACGCGCCGAACAAAACAAAGCGAGAATAACATGACCAACCAAATTCCTTCCTGCAATAACGCAAGGTTCAATTTCTTCATCGATGGGTTTGAGGTTGTTTTGTTGGTTGGAGATGCCTTTTATGTAGTTTCATCCATGTTCCGGGGGCATCGGAGGCAGGGCGGTGCATTGAAAGTCCTTTCTGGAACCAATGGCATCTCACGAATGGATCTTGGAGCTCGCAGAAGACGGTAAGACGAGCCCAGGCCAGTCGAAGCCACTGACCAAGAGCAGGAACCTGAGGGCTTCACAGGTATCTTCTATGACCAAGCGCCATGTCGCGTTCCAAGGTGGCGACGAGAACATGGCGCGGAGAAGAAAGAAGAAGAAGAAGCAGAAAAGGCTCTTGGTGCAGTGTTTAATCGTTTGAACATATTTTCTCATCGGTTGATAAAATCATGAACTCCAGTTCATTTGTTCGGTGTTTGGATGTCTTTGGATGTTGGGATTATTCAGGTGCATATGCCGAGGAAACATGGAACCATGGAACCTGCAAGTCGTGCAGGGTTCAGGAGCTCGTGATGGCTTTGACCAGCAACTACCGGCATGTTTGGACCCGGCGCTACTAGTGCAACTACTGGGTTCACTACAAAGTCAACTGTTCGTGCAAATGAAATAGTAAGAGTCAAGAGTCGAACCATGTCTCCACCAACGAATAGCCAAACATCTGCTTTGAGCTAAAACGCGTAACTCGCCTTGCTTACGGGTAGGAGGTGTTTCTAGAAGTGCTCAATTTTCGTGTCTGCTGTCTTGTTCATGTATGATTATGACATGTTCAAACTGTAAATATAGAATTATGCAAGAAGATTGTTGCTGACAAATTCTGGCAGATGCATCAGTTGCACGATAAGACCAGGAAGTGCGATGGAAAACACATGGAAATTGCGGGTCGAGGGGGGGCCGCTGAGCATATATATATATATATATATATAGTGACGGACAATCACTTAGAACGTATTTTGGAAAAAAATCTGAATATTACTGCTTTTTTTACGTTCTAAGCCTTGCACTTAGAACGTCGAAAACCATACACTTAGAACGTCCAAATATCAAGATTCATCACTTAGAACGTACCGGGGATTTAACACTTAGAACGTGTCTAGGTCACTGATGATAGTGGAAAGGCTTGTGAAATCATCGATTTTCTCGAAGGTTTTGGATTGTAGAAGTATTTATATTATATACATTTATAATGTATGTATTTATATATATACAAGTATATATACATATCATATGGTAATTGTTCATAATTATAGTGGCGGACAATCACTTAGCACGTTCTAAGTGTTGGTTTACGTTCTAAGTGATAAATGGGCCTAAGTGATATTTTGACGTTCTAAGTGATGAATTTTCCCTACGTTCTAAGTGATGAAATTTTGCTACGTTCTAAGTACGAAAAAAAATGGAAAAAATACGTTCTAAGTGATTGTCCGTCACTATATATATATATATATATATATATATCTTTTTATTTATATAATATTATATATATATATATGGAATATCACCACTTAGAAACATGGGTTACTGACGGGGATACACGCGCCAGTTGAAACCATGAAAATCGATGAAAATCGTTAGCTGCCCCCAAAATGTTGGCGCGCATGGCCATGGCCATTGGCTGGTACTTTGAGGGCCTACTATAAGGCATAAATGATGACCATATACTATCACATTATAGTATAAACATGTGCAGTTTTGTAATGTAGGGCTCGTCCTGGGATTAGCTGTTGCTGATCTCAGTTGTAAGTTGATTTCAAGGGTTGACTTGCAGATTGCGACTTATCCACTTTTTGGCATTTAGGTCACGTGACATAGCTTTGGTGTTGACCAGAAATGGATCTAATTTTAATCTTACTCTCCGGCAATTTAAACTCGGTAATGAAAAATCACCCATTCAACTTCGGAGATTTCACGGCTTTCCATGTCTGATTACCAGAGAGCATCCCATTCTTGGGGACAGCGTTCAGGACATCATCAAGCTGGCGCTTTGCCTTACGACACATGTGGAGGGTTGATTGAAGCGGTGAAGCCGGTCTTTGCGGCTTATCGGAGATAAGGCGGGCCCCAAGGGTCTGATCATCACCACGCTGAGACAATGGTGGCTGTCTTCAAGGCATTTGCGCAAGGCTTTGTCATCATCAGCGATAGCAAAAAGACTCAGGCTCGGTCACAAATTGTACTGTCTCATCATCCTGGTCACAATCATTACCCTCTGGTAGTCTAACTTGGAGGAAAATCCCCCATTCAGAAATGATTTGCCCATTAAAAGCCGCGGTTCGAAAAGGATTTCCCTGCCTGGCATGACCTGCATGTCACTGCATGTCTTTACTGTCCATGCGCAACCCGCATTTTCTCAGGTTGCGGGAAAAGTAGCACAGCTTGCCCTGCCCCCTGATGCGCAACGCACTGCAGATGGGCTGCTGAAAATGGTGAGCCGCTGTGAGCTGCGCTGGAGATCCTTCATGATATGCCAAAAACATCCAAAAACTCTATCTACTAGAATCTGAAAGTGGGGCCCCTAAGCCCCAAACGTTTGCTAAGTTGATTTGTAACTATAGGAAAAAGTGGTATTTATGCACGATGGTTCTTACAAACCAACCGATAGTTGGGGAGTAGCACCTTTTCATACCTGTTCGGCGGATTCCTGACTTGGCTATGGGTCAAAAATGGTATAGGGTACCCCCAAAGAATTTATGTCACTGGATAGTGCTATGACTTACCCGACAGTGCTTCGGTCTTGGGTCTTTCAATTTGATCCAAAGGCATTTGGTGACATATACATATTATACATATTTTACATTTTGTACATATTATACATTTTAGACATATCATACACACACATACATATATATATATAGAAACACACACATATATATGTATATATATATGTATAGACATACTGTATCATGCCCGAATCATTCTCAGAAAAGCACCCAATGTTTCATGGTCCCAAGTTGAAGGCTATTCCACCAATGGCCCCGAGTTCCAAAAGTCGGGCTTCATGGGGAATATGCATTCCCAGTGGTGAAAAGTGACAACAACACGTATATAAACCACACACACATATATATATATATATATATATATATTGGCCTATATTAGCATATAGTAACCAGAGTTTAACCCACACATTAACCTATTTATTATATAACCTGTACCAACCTACATTAATATATACAGAATAACACATAATCAGAGGTTCACTCGATAAACCAGCTATGTACCCAGCTTATGACAAAATCATCCCAATATCCCAGGCCCAAGGCAAAGCCGTCCACCCTAACGCGCGAAGGGAAAGTTTGGATTTGAATGCCCAGGTCTGGTGGTGGTGGAAGGGAACGTTTTTTGGGGTTTTGTTTTTTTTTCCAAATTTGTTTGTGCGAGTTTCGGGGTGTTTGTTTAGATATGTTTGGATAGATTTGTATTTTATGTTCTGTGGTGAAAAGTGGATACATGGATTGTTTTTGGAAGGATAGGTTGAATACATTCACCAGCTGTGGCTCTACATTCCTCAGGACCGACCAAGCCCCATGACGTTGTATACAGTTACGTATACGTAATATACATGCATGCTCGTACACACACAGATATACATATTAATTATATATATATACATATTATATATATACATATTATATATATATACATATACATATATATATATATGAATAGACACATGTGTATATCGGTATCTATTGCGCAGCTCTTTGGGCAAAGGATGCGGCGTAATTGTTTGAATTTTGCTTTTTTGGACGTGCAGGGGCCTGACAAAGGCTTCCGAAAAAAGGCAAGTGTTAGCATGTTGCTAAGCTTGGGAACCATAGTTAACGCCTTGGATTTTATGCAATAGTTTCTTGCTTGGGGGTGCCAAAATATATGTGTTTTCCTAAATGCAATTCAAGCCTAGTATTTCAGTGCATTGGGGTAACGTAACTGCGCACCTCGACATGAATTTGCCTTGGAAATATCCATCCAACCAGGTGCAACCAGAATGATTCCTGAAACTTTCCAGTTTTCTTGCGGTTCGCGGGTGATGACCTTGCCGTGCTGAGAGGTTTCTGGCTTTGAGAGGTTAATCAGCATTGAGTCACAGTGAGCGGTGGCTCTGTGTCGGATGGCTATGGGCCATAAATTGACGAGCAATGGACCAACTGACCCGCATGAAAACTGGTCGTGCTCACTGATTTTTTCATAAGAATCCCTGTTTGTTGGTGAACATATTGGCCTAGACACAGTTTGCACGGCATGTCTGTCAAGATGAGACATGACGTTTAGCTTCGCCATGTTCGAGCTTCTGTTGTGGCAGTCTTAGATGCTGACATTTTTGTTGATGATTTAACTTGATTTAACCCCATAATTGCTGCTGTCTTCATTTGTTTTGCCCACTTGCTACTGGGCAAACATGGCCCAGGGAACCCATCAGGATTTGAACAGCCCGGGAAGAGCCTGGTGCTGCCAATGTGGGAATTGGGCTCAGTGGATTGGGAACAGGAGCGTTACCACAGACATTCATTGAGGATGGAATAGTATGTATATACCCTCTGGTAAACTAACAGAATTATGGAAAATCACAATGTTTAATGGGAAAATCCACTGTATATATATATATATACATTTTATGGTAATCGAACATGGCCAGCCAGAATATCCAGAATAGATCATTTTCCCATTCAAACACCATTTATATATATATATATTTATTTATTTATATATACTGGTTGGTGGTTTGGAACATGACTTTTATTTTCCATTTCATATATGGGATGTCATCCTTCCCATTGACGGACTCCATCATTTTTCAAGAGATTCAAGATGGTTAAACCACCAACCAGATATATATATATATATATATATTGTGTTTTTCTTGGGAGGTGGTTGCTTTTGTGGTGGTCGTTCTTTTGACAGTTGATTGGCTGATTGGCACTTTGTGTGTGCTGACCTTTTACATCCAGAATGTTCACACATCAATACCATCTGGCTATGACTAACATAGCCATGGAAAATCCCCATTTTTAATGGGAAAACTCACGTAATACATGGGCCATGTTCAATAGCTATGTTAGTTTACCAGGCCGGGTATATCACACAGCAGTAGCTTCACTAGATCTTTGTGGTGCATCGGCCCGCATCGGCCCTACATCCTGGATGACAATGTCTATCAGTCTATCGATGTCTATAGATGTCTATAGATGTCATGTATGAGCTACCTCTTATATTTTAAACAAATGGAAAACAACAACAATAGTAATTAATTACATATATAATGACATATAGTGACATATATCGGAATTGATGTGGTGAACCCTGGGTCTGCAAGATGCTTTCCAGCATCCATATTTGTTTGGGACTTGTTGATTTTTTTCTTGGGTGTACTAAGACTAAGAGGTGCAGCAAATCATCAGAATGCTGACTGACCCAAATCCCGCTAGCCGGCAGCTCATGTACTAACATATCTCGAGGCGCAAGAAAACAAATCGGGAGGTTGCTATTTTTGCCAGTGGATACGTGATGTACGCGTAGATATCAAGGAAAACCATGGAAAACGCTGTTGCTGCGTGGTGATTTCAAACATCATAAATCATTGTACATGATTCCATCATATTCCCTGCCTCTGGCACAAACTCCCAAGTAGGTGAGGATGTCAATAGGATAGGTGGAAGATGCGCAAAACCTACATGAAAGTGCTAGATGTGTCAAATTATAACCTGCTTGTCGCGCGGCTGCAAAGAATTGCGAAGACACTACAGGTAGGAAGTTGCGCTTAAAACCTTTACATTTTATGGTAATCGAACATGGCCAGCCAGAATAACCAGAATAGATCATTTTCCCATTCAAACACCATATATATATATATTTGATCTATCCCCGGGGCAGTAACAGTGAGCACAAGCCAGGGGCACAAAATGAGCACCAGCCAAATGCAGAAAATAAGGGGGTCTAATCTGGTAATATGATACGGATAAATTCTTATACCAAAACCAAAAAAAAGGATCAGGTAGACACCATGAATATGTAATCATCAAATGGTTGAAAAAATGTTTCATGTGAATCGGAAGGAATCAAGCTGCACAGGTGTCTGTTTCTCTCTTCTCGGCTCTGGCTGCTACAGATTTGCCATTATACATTTTATGGTAATCGAACATGGCCAGCCAGAATATCCAGAATAGATCATTTTCCCATTCAAACACCATTTATATATACTGGTTACATTTTATGGTAATCGAACATGGCCAGCCAGAATATCCAGAATAGATCATTTTCCCATTCAAACACCATTTATATATATATATATTTATTTATATATACTGGTTGGTGGTTTGGAACATGACTTTTATTTTCCATTTCATATATGGGATGTCATCCTTCCCATTGACGGACTCCATCATTTTTCAAGAGATTCAAGATGGTTAAACCACCAACCATATATATATATTGTGTTTTTCTTGGGAGGTGGTTGCTTTTGTGGTGGTCGTTCTTTTGACAGTTGATTGGCTGATTGGCACTTTGTGTGTGCTGACCTTTTACATCCAGAATGTTCACACATCAATACCATCTGGTTATGACTAACATAGCCATGGGAAATCCCCATTTTTAATGGGAAAACTCACTTAATACATGGGCCATGTTCAATAGCTATGTTAGTTTACCAGGCCGGGTATATCACACAGCAGTAGCTTCACTAGATCTTTGTGGTGCATCGGCCCGCATCGGCCCTACATCCTGGATGACAATGTCTATCAGTCTATCGATGTCTATAGATGTCTATAGATGTCATGTATGAGCTACCTCTTATATTTTAAACAAATGGAAAACAACAACAATAGTAATTAATTACATATATAATGACATATAGTGACATATATCGGAATTGATGTGGTGAACCCTGGGTCTGCAAGATGCTTCCCAGCATCCATATTTGTTTGGGACTTGTTGATTTTTTTCTTGGGTGTACTAAGACTAAGAGGTGCAGCAAATCATCAGAATGCTGACTGACCCAAATCCCGCTAGTCGGCAGCTCATGTACTAACATATCTCGAGGCGCAAGAAAACAAATCGGGAGGTTGCTATTTTTGCCAGTGGATACGTGATGTACGCGTAGATATCAAGGAAAACCATGGAAAACGCTGTTGCTGCGTGGTGATTTCAAACATCATAAATCATTGTACATGATTCCATCATATTCCCTGCCTCTGGCACAAACTCCCAAGTAGGTGAGGATGTCAATAGGATAGGTGGAAGATGCGCAAAACCTACATGAAAGTGCTAGATGTGTCAAATTATAACCTGCTTGTTGCGCGGCTGCAAAGAATTGCGAAGACACTACAGGTAGGAAGTTGCGCTTAAAACCTTTACATTTGATGGTAATCGAACATGGCCAGCCAGAATAACCAGAATAGATCATTTTCCCATTCAAAGACCATATATATAAATATATATATATATAGTCATCCCCAAATAGATGGAAAAGTAAATCCCTGCTAATTTGATGGTGAATTACTTTTTCATTTGTTTGGGGATGACTATATATATATATATATATACATTATATACATATATGGATGGGATTTCCCAGCCAGGATGGAGCACAGAAACCATGATCTCTGGCATTGCATCCGGCTCATGCAGGTCATCAAGTCATCGCCGCGCGATTCACATGAGTCCAGCATCACCCCATTGCGCAATGACTGAAATGACCCCAGAGATCCCCAAAATCGTGCAGTAAAAACATCTCGAAAACATTGTGGACATCGCCGGTCGCGGCCCAGCAGTGCCAAGGTGGACCTAGTGTGCTTTGTTTTGATTTGTGGTGTGGCATCATAGAGTCTTATAGAGAGAGAGAGAGGAAAACAAAAAGCATCTCGCAAATAGCCAAACAATGATGAAACAATGATGGATTTTTTTTACATGAATCATGAATGCATCTGAATGGTATGTACTCAAACTTTGTTCATTGCCGCCATTGCCGGGGCAAATCGGAGACGAAACCAGCGCTGAAACGTTGGCGTGCTGTGCGAAACCCACGGGCGTTTTCCAACACATTCCAACGTGGCATGAATATCATTGAATGTCCCTATCATATGCCTATCATATCCCTATCATCCCTTAAAATTGCATATGTGTTTTGGATGTCCAATGGGTTGGTTTGTAGCAACCATCTACCATAAATCAATTGATATAAATCCTCTTGTTTGTTGGTTATAAAATATTGATCCTGTTCCATGCCTGAAAGTTAGATGATGAGTTCCAGATCACACCACATGACCAGGCGATGGCTGGGCCCACCATTCTTGAGGTTGGGGAGTTTTTTGTGGGGCGCCAGCTGGTGGGCCAAAAAACAAGGCAAACCATGCAGGCGAACGAACAATAAAGTCATCCCAAGAAAGACAGAAACAAACAGAAACGTAAATTGCTGCGAATTTAGTGATGATACTCTTTTCCATCTTTTTGGGGATGACTATATCCAAAAGGTGTTGTAGTTATACAATTCCTTGTTTCTACGGCGATATATTTCTACCTTCCGTGCATGCAAGATGTGGACATCGTGAGCCATGGTGTTAACATGATAGATGTGCTCGTACGGGTGGAAAGACATAAAGAGATGGATGGTAGATAGATAGTCAAATGGGTAGACAGACAGGGAGAAACTGCAGATATGTAGATCGATGGATAACAGATGGATGGAGACAATGAGATGGATAGACGTACGGAAGATGTGACATACCCTCTGGTAATTTAACATAGCTATTGAACATGGTGATTTATAGTGGATTTTCCCATTGAAAATGGTGATTTTCCATAGTTATGTAAACGTTTACCAGAGGGTATCCATCTATAGATTTCGATGGGGAGACGGCCAGGCGGTTAGGCAGAAGCTGTTGGACATGAATGGTCCGGTGGCACTGTTTGTTGGGGGCCGACCTGCCGGGCCCGGGTGGTATGATGCTATATGATGCTAATATTATAACCCATAGGATCCATGTATGGTATATATATATATATATGCTAACATTGGGGGTATATTGATGGTAAATGTTACCATATATATATATAGCATACATGGATCCTATGGGTAATATCCCCACTGTTTCAAAATTGTTAAAATTGTGGAATGGTTGATTTTTTGGTTTACCATATTAAACGCATATCAGGTCTCTGAACGATGATATCTTGCGCACATGTTCATGTAAGAAAGTTGCTGCTCGAGTTTTGCATTCCGAAATGAGGGCTGTTTGTTACAAGATTTTTTTGAGCCTTGGATGTTGTTTAGAACGAAACAAAAATCGGAACTCAGGGTGGTATTTCGGTGTATTTTCAAATGGTGGCGTTCCTATGTGTAAAACCTCATTGAGACTAGGCCAGCTCAAAGACATCGCTGGTGACACAAAGCCCTGCAGGGACCCCCGTGATGTCGGCGTGATGTCGGGTCACTTTTGGGGCGCCCTGATTGAGGGGAGGGACATAGTTTTACTGAGGAAAAAAATGGTTGAGTAGTTGACACTTTTTCATTTGCCCTGAATATCATGATATATCCACACATGTGCTAAGATGGTTCCAAAAGAAAAAAGAACAATATTGTCTTTGGCGGTGTAACAGTTGTTTCTGTTCTTTGTTTCTTTGCTCTAAAGTTGCACAAGCACTCCTGCATGACATTGTTCTACCATCTTTTCTGCTGCGGAACAAACGTTACCAGCACCTTTGACACCGCGGTTTTGAATGGCTGGGTGGATGAAATGGATCGCCCTGTTTAAGCAGAGGCCGTCAAAATCAATCTTCAACGCGGATTTGAAGAAATTTGGCGTGTCACATGAAAGTTGTACAGTTTGTTATGACGAAGCTGGTTTAGATTTGCCATCTTAATTGTCAGCTTCCAATGTAATATATATATATATATGTGTGTGTGTTTCATTCATGTTAATTTATGTGTTTTTTTGGGCTATATGCTGGATGCAGAGATGTTGGTCTTGTGGGACCAGCCGTGGGCCACGCCAATGGCAGAAATGTGGCATTTTCACATGGCATTTTCACGTGAGCAACGGAGGCAGCCTGGTTGAATGTGGTTAATGGCAGCCGTTGTTCTGTGCTGATCGCCTCCACAAACAAAGCATAAAATACACAGAGAGAGTCTCCTAAAGATGGCTCAAGGGCTGGCCCGGATGGTGCGCGTTGTAAAAACCCACCTGGCAAACTGATCCGCGAAGAGATGTACCAATGCCTACTGACAATAATATGGGATACGAAAGCTTGTAAGCACACTACTAGCAACTAGTCTTTAGTATATATTATATCGCAATTCCTGACCGCATGAACCAGAGCTTAGACATGCTGTGACTGTGGCCGAAGTGGCTCAAGGGTGCGTAAGTTCACCCTGCTCTCGGGCCGCGTTTCGGGCGATGTGCCGCTGAGAAAACTCGCACTAGCGGCAAGATCCCAAATGATTTCCATACGATGTGACTGGGTGGTGATTGAGAAGCTAAGTTTCAATATGGTTTTGTTTGTGAGTTACATGGTAACCCACTGGTAGACCCCTGTTCATGTTTGCATTCGCCGCATTGTCATCGGTCATGCAACAGTTTCAGCACTTGCAATATATTGACAGAAGGCATATGGGATAAACCCTCAGCAGTTACGAGTTCATACTCGATGATGGATTTGCGGTGTGTATTGTCAGCATGTTTGCCAACCTTGTTTTCTATTTTGGAAATGCACCCAGCTATGACTGGAGCTGTATGTCCAGTTTTTGGTTCCAACAACTGCCATGGGACCATGAAGTAGAAAGTTTACCCTGGGGGCAGATGTCCCACAGGAGTAGTTTCAGGGAAACTATTTGCAGGACTTCTGTACACTTCTTCAGTTGAACAAATGTATAAGTTTCAGGTTGCCTGCCCCTTGCCCTCCGGTGTCACCCAACGTGGCTTGCTGGAATTTCTCCTATTTATATCTATATATATGTATATACATACATGTACTTATTGATTGTATTCTATTGTATTGAGTATAGTATAGTATTGTATTGTATTGTATTGTATTGCACATTGTATTGTATTGTACATTGTATTGTATTGTACATTGTATTGTATTGTACATTGCATTCTATTGTGCATTGTATTGTATTGTACATTGTATTGTATTGTTTTGTATTGTTTTGTATTGTATTGTATTGTATTATACTCGTATTGTATTGTATTGTGTTGAGTATAGTATAGTATAGTATTGTATTTTATTTGTATTGTATTGTATTGAGTATTGTATTGAGTATTGTATTGTATTGAGTATTGTATTGTATTGTATTGTATTGAGTATTGTCTTGTATTGTATTGAGTATTGTATTGTACTGAGTATTGCAGTGTATTGAGTATCCTATTGTATTGAGTAGTGTATTGTATTGAGTATTGTATTGTATTTTATTGTATGTTGTATTGTATTGAGTATTGTTGTATTGTATTATGTATTGTGTTGTGTTGTATTGTATTATGTATTGTGTTGTGTTGTATTGTATTGTGTGTATGTGTGTGTAGTTCGATGATTTTCCCATTGACACATTTTTTTTTAAAGATTTCCCAGCCATGTTTGATTACCGGAGGATAAATCATCTTAATCTATTAATCAAGCCTTCCTGGGCCCAAGGTAGTGGTCTTATTTTATTGCCCTTGGCGGTCCTGGCGGCGTGGGAGGATGCAGCCCAGTTCCATGGCAGTGCAAAAAATTGCCGCAGCATTGAGTTTCCTCCGGTCACGACAAACATGTGGATCCGTGGAAAGTCCGGAAGATGTTCATTTTCAGAATTCAAATGACTCTTGGGCAGGCAACACCTGAAATTACTGAAATTTAAGATCTTAAAGTTATACCCGGAGTAGCCAAACAAAGAAAAGGCATCAAGGATTGAGAGCAAACACCCAAAAGCAATGCTGAATATGAATTCAGAGATGGTATATAAGATTTGGGAAAATGCTGCTTTGTTTCCAGTCTATATCAAAACGCATCAAGACCGCACCCTACTTGGTTGGCAGTCTCCGGGGCTATCCTGGGGCCTGGAAAAACGGATAGCTTGTGACGAAACTCAGCAACGGGAAGCCTGGAAATTATGGAGGAAACATCACGTAGTTCTTGGAAACAATTGTCTATCTATCTTTTTGGGACCTCTTTTTGGACGGCTTTGAATTTGTGGCATTTTGTGGCTTACCTCAGGATTGATAGGACTGCAACTTTGATGGGAAAACTGAGAATCAACGACTGAATCTGGGGGACCCCATTTAGGACAAGCCCGTGAATCGAAGCATCACACACATATATAATATAAGTGGGAAGTGGGAGCGCTTGCATTTAGAGCGCATTCCTATGATGTATTTCTATTATCGGATTGAGTGCTAGCTGGCAGACGTCTCCGAAGCAAAGGTGTCCCCCAAAATCCTTACTGACTCACTTCCAGCAGAAATTAGGCAAGAGCTTGCGGAAGATTTGACGGTTCCGTTTCAGCTGCACAGCTGTCTTCATGAGAGGCTGGAGATTCAGATGGATTTGCTGCAGCGACATTTGGAGATCGAAACGGCTGAAATGCGAAGGATGATGCTTGGCTCCCGGAGCTGCGGTTTTTCAGGACCGGATTTTTACAAGTTAGGTGATGAAACCACCAGAGAAAAGAAATGGCACAAATCGGCCGATTTTGGTGCTACCGAAGCATCATTTTTGGTGGGAAGAATTCTGAGCTATACTGGGGTTTACACAGATATTCGTGAACATGGTTGAAGTTGGCTGATCCTTGGGTTGATTTGACAGTTTTACGCCGCGACCACTGCTTTCACGAGCATCTATGAACAATCTGTTTTACAACTCATTCAAAGCACTCGTGCAAATGTTTCGACGCAGACCTTTCGGGTAGAAATGGTATGGGAATGGTTGAGTCATGTTGGGCTTGTTTTGAAAGCGAGTTTTTTTTTAATAATTGATTCCCCTTGTGCACAGCGATGCGGCAAACCATTTGATTTGTTTCGAAAATTCAGCGAATCCCCGATGAAAAATAAGGAAGGCAAGGCATGTTGAAGGTCAGTAGTGTTTTTTCCTTTTGGCGGTTTCAGTAGTGTCCTTTCCATCCCTGAGATCCTTGACTTTCAGTGGGCCCGATGCCATGAGCCATAAATGGATGTCATTGGGCCCATCCCCCTAAACTCCTAAACTGAGCCTTTCATTCCTAAGTGGTATACCCAGTTTCATAAACCCCTAATTTGCCGGATGGTTTGCCGGTTTGCCATAAGAAGACAAAATGATCATAAATTATCTGTCCCATATTACATACCCTCCGGTAAACGTTTACAGAACTATCGTAAATCCACTATTTCTACGGCCATTTTCAATAGCTATGTAACAAATTACCGGAGGGTATTGTTTATGATGATGGTTTCATCATGTTTCATCACTATCGCATGATGATCCTGTACCGTAACTGTTCGCTTCGTTGGAGATTTGTTTCTGGATAAACCATCCCTCCATGTTTCGCTAAGACCTTGCAGGGTGAGGGAAGATCTCCCCTCCAAACACATGGTGATTTTCAAGGTCTATGCTCAGGGGATGGTCAATGCCACTGTGTCCCTATTGGATCCTATTAGATCGCCGAATCGCCATTAAAAAACAAAACTATATCCCTTTCAAGCCACCAAAGAATCCAAATATATCACCAATCAGCGTAAAAGTTCAGAGTAGTCCCATTAGTTCAGGACGTGTTTGGTTAGTTTCCTTTAGATTGAGGCCAGTTTTGCATGCGCGCTCGCATGCACATTTCGAGCCCCGAGCCCTAAACAATTGCAGTGACAAAGGGCAAAGACATGCAGTATTTGTTGAATGTAAAAGATTGTGGAAATAGACTATAGGTGTGTGTATATATATATATTATTATTTATATGCACATATGTGTGTATGTGCGTGTTCTGACTTATGAAATCTCAATATGATGTGTGATGTATTTACATATGTTTCATGTATATTCTCGACGATGTAGGGAATGTGCAAGTTTAAACATATCTGAATGTATAGTTATAGTTGCTGACACAAGTGTGGAATTTTGAAACGTATATTTTATGTGTGTAATGTAATATTATATGTATAATTTTGTTTATTTGATGTTTTTGATTTTGTTTTCTTCATTTATACCTACGGGTACTAAACATGTTTTGTGTCATGGCATATGTGTTTTACATTTAGATGTATAAACACACATAAACACACACTAGACAAAAATTGGATCTTTGAAGAGATCCATCAGGACCTGAGTCCTGTAACGTGCAACCAGCCTAGACAAGTAGACCTAAAGTAGATCTCGTGGTTGTACTTCGCGAGAACGATGAAGGTTTTCCGAAGAAATCAAACGTAGACCCAACCAGAATACAAACGTCAAATAAC